AAGGAGGTAATGGCACTCCTTAATTAATATGGGTCTCTCAAACGTCTTTCACAATTAATACGTTTCTTATCCTTCATTGCTCGAGCTTAGGTACCAAGTATCCTTTCCCCCTTGTGTTGGCCTCGGGCTGAGGCGACCCCTTGGATCTCAGCCACCTATCCACATGTCCTCAGATTCCCGTGCTTCAGTGGGGATAGGTCCTTTTCGAGGTCCTGCCTTCATGACCTCGCAAGATCCTATCCCAATTTTATCCCGAGGTCCTCTTTACCGAGACGGGAATTGTGTAAATAGGTTAGTCGAGGTTGCTCTTTCAGAGAGCGTCCTCGAATGAGCCAGGGGGGGAAGAGCCCATCCAACTAGAGCGGAGCGCATCCACAGTGGAGGAAAGGTAGCGACCCCTTCCTCGGCCAGTGAGTTCAGTTATCGGATAGGTAGTTCGAAAATACCTAATCCATTATGGGCACGCCAGGTCAGCACTGGCCAGTTGTGCCTATATTGCAGAGGTGGCGCCACTTAACCAACTGTCATAGCGCGATCATCAACATTTTGCCCCCCTGCTCGAGGTCATCGAGAGGGGAGCTCGAGCAAACCACTAATTTAATTTCTTTTGTCATTATTGTTTCCACTGAAGGGTCATGTCATTTAAGTACCAAACAATTATATCACTTCAGGGGTCATGTCGCTTTAGCTTATCCATCTACGTATCGCCCTTTTATTGGTGTGTCAGGTTAAGACGTTTCGGGTCTTGAGTCGCGTCCTTTCGTCAGCCGGAGGTGCAACGCTTGGGATGCCAAGCCCCCATATTTAAGTCATTCCAAAACACATTTTTTTCAAAGGCACATAACAACACTCGTCCACTTATCCCTGCTTGCTCCTCGCAAAAAGACTTCTTGTTCAAAACAAAATACAATGGCAATTCGCGATGATGTTCTCGATGTCCCTCCTTTAAACGAATGGCGAGTTGCCCCATATTTCGGTCTGAGCGACACCTTCTGGGTCAACAGTGATGTATTAAGCGAGGTAAATGAGGTTCCAGCAAGCACACTCTTGTTCGAGGGAGAGCCTTACGCGCTCACCGGGGCACCCATTCAGCCCAACTCGATTTTACGATTCAGGGTAGAGCGTGGTGACTTCCCTCACTCCAACATTGCCTTTACGAGTCAGACCGGTCATGGACGAGGGTGGGAGTTGTGGACAGACGCGATTCTATCTGATGGTGAGTTCTTAGGGATTTTGCAGGCTTCGAAAATTACAGACGCTATCCGAAACACTCGGGAGCTAACCATACCTCGGGATGTCCATGATCTCACCCTCCTGTTATCTGGATGGAGCCGAGATACCCATACCTTTATCACTTCTTGGGGAAAATTCACCCCTACTTTGGAGGATGTGGTGCAGCTTATGTGCTTGAACGTATTTGGTGAGCATGACCCTAGCTCTTGGTCCATCCCTGAAGACGAGGTTAAACTTGCCTCCAAGCTTCGCAATAGTGTTACCTCGGCAGGTAAGATAGCCTCGCACTATCAAGATACTGGACTTCTTGAAGAGTTCCCGGAAAGGGGCAAAAAGTGCACGTTTGTATCACTTTTGCGTTATTATTTCCGAGACTTCCCCCCCCCCCCCCAGGGTCAAGAAGAGGAGGAGTCCTTCAGTGGCCTGAAGTGCAAGGATTCAGCTCGCCTTGCTGCATATATCTTGTCGTGGCTATCCAGATTTGTTTTTCCGGGGCCTCCTGATGACGGGCCTTGTCCTGACCTCATCCCTTTGGCCGTCAGGCTATCTTATGGCAAAAGCTTGCCTTTGGTCGCTCTGTTCTTGGGTACTCTCTACCACGAGCTCGACTTGGCGCATGCCCGCATGGAACGCTCTGTGGGTTGCATAACCGTGGTTTCTCCTGTTAACGCAATTTTCCTTCAGATGTTCTTGTACGAACACTTCCCAAAGTATGGTCCTCGTCCAACCACGTTGGCTCGTAACAGCTGCTTGAAGCGATCTTTCCAGTGGCACAAACTTAGCACGAAAAAGAAATTATCGGAGTTTATTGACAGTGAGATTTGCTTTGTAGCTCGCCCATACACCCATGAACCTCGTGTGGAGTGTTGTACGTCGAAGGACGGCATGGTGATTTCGGGCAAGTCTTTGAAGCGTACTCCAGCCCTGACTATCATAGCCATGACCCTGTCTGGCTATCTTCCCGCGTTTCTTCCCCCTCATTCGAGCGTAGGTAAGGTTTACAACCCTCACAGGGTGGCTCGACAATTTAGATTGGATCAGGGGCTTCCAAGGGATTATGGTTATGGGGCGCGACAGGATTATAGCACCTACGCTCTAGGTTTTTTGTGCTTCCTCGATTCTGCAGAGGTAGAACTCCTTGGGGATCGCCAAATTCTTCATGTGCCCTCTACTCAGAGGGTTGGGAGATGGGCTGAAAAGATGAGGGCCTATTGGAAGGAGATAATTCTTTCTTTTAAGAAGTTTGTAAGTAGCACTCCTGTCCCTGTCCCTGCTCGAGCCCTGTTAAAGGATGACGCCTCGTTCTGCACTTTCAAAAATACGTTTGTAGCTGCGAGGGGTAAACCTTGCAGCACAACAGGTTTACTTCCTCTACTCTTGCCAACTGCAACCGTGCCCGTGATAGCCCTCCGTGCTACTAAGGCACACCGGGACAAACGCAAGGCAGATCAAGACGTTAGCACCTTCATACCTACAACCGCGTCTTCAAAGCAAGCTAAGGTAAAAGACAAATTCTACTTCTACTTTCTTATCAACTCCATGCTGACCAGTTTATTCATCTCTTTTTTTATAGGATGCTCCAAAGGCCCCTACCGTTGCAAAGGATCCTGCTTCTTCTGAGATTCTTCATTCGCCCACCCGAGCTGGGGTTCCTTTGAGAACAAGGTCTCGCGCTAGCCATCCAAAAAGAACTCCTACAACGACCGCGCCTACTAGCGGTGTTCTTCGCACTCCTGAGGCGGATACTAGCCTGGCCATTCCCTCTGACCCTCTTCATACTTTGGCAAGCGTTCTGAAGGACCCTGAGCGTGCGGCGAAGGAAGTACTGTCCTCTGACTTGAACCCCCCTCCTTTGCAGAACGGGGTAGGCAAAGAGTTGATCCCCCTAGCCCGCGGCTTGGGCAGGTTTGACGAGGAGACCAGGGAGGTTAATACCTCGGCAGATCCTACTATGGGAATTTTTAATATCGAGCGAAGCCCAAGTCGCTCGCCATCCCATGGAGAAGGTACTATTCTTTTCTTCCCCATCCCCCCCCCTCACTTTCTCTTTTTTTTTAACGATTGGCTATCCATCCCTTAGGTGCCGAGGTAGCTACGTCTAACGCGGCTGAAGCTGCAGCTGGTTCAGAGGGTCATTTCCCCGATTGCGTGGGCGAGGACAGCGATACCAGTTCGCAGGTCGAGATTGTTCATGTGCTACCTCGAGAGCCTCTTGCCGAGTTGCAGCAGATGATGGATTCAGCCATCAGATCTCTTCCTGAGGATGACGGTTTGGATGAAATGGAGAGCTCGAATGCCAGCGGTAACTCGTCCCATGATGACACCTCAGAATCGAACTATTTGAGGCATGAAGTCAACCAAGCTGAGGGTAATGGATCGATTCGGCCGGCCTCCAATGAGGATGCAACCGAGAGAGAAGTTAACTTACCAACAGGAGGTCAGGCCACGAATCCTATAGAGCTAGATCAAGAGACGGATGACCCTTTACCCGTGTTGTGGGGTGGAATCACCGTTTCCGCCGCCGAGGCTAAGATTTTGGACGAGGTTCAAGCAAAATACCCCCAGACCTTTGGGGATCTTGAAGGGCTGTTGCCTTTGTTCCTGGACTTTGTGTATAAAACCACATACGAGTTGGTAGTCGGCCTTCGAGAAGCCCGAGATCGTGCCCTGGCCAAGAAAGATCTTGATTCCCTCGATCGTCTCTTCACTAATTTGGGCCAAGCGCAGATCGACGTAGGCTGGGCCCGCGACATCCTTTTGCGAATTAAGGCCTTGGGGGAGCGCGAAAGGATGGTAGAAGAAATCAAAGACCTTCGCGATCAGGTCATCGAAGAGGAAGGAGTGCTGTATAATGAAAAGATCCGCTTGGCCGAGTTGCAAGAGCAGGTGAACTCGAGATAACAGCACATTGCTTCTTTAAAGGATGAGATCGAGCGCAAGTCATCTCAACTCGGCCCTGCTGTTTTAGTTTTAGGCGATTTACCCTGATATTATAACACCTTGTACTGGGGTATTCTGAGAATATGTCAATTTATGCAACTTGCAGACTTTAAAAGTATGATAATCTTTTATTAATAGAACGGTCTTTTTTTTTATTATTATTATTACCGCCCCTTTTTTTTTTTTTTTTGAGCAATGTCATGAAAATTATTATAGATGACCTGTGCAAGTCATTAATATGAATCAAAAATCATAAATGGCTTTTAGCCGAGGCCAGGTGATACCATGGTTGCTATAAGTAACCTCTTCCAGAGTCGAGATAGACTAGAGGCTCTTACAAATGATCAGTGTTTTTTTTTTTTACATGACCTCTACCAGAGATAGGGCCAACCAGGAATTTTGATTCAGGAAGTAAAAAAGTGAAGAAAAAAAAAAAAAAAAACATGCCAGGCATTAGAAAACGAGAGGGAGGCGCAAAGCCCCCTCGAGCTTTTCTTAACATCTTACATGAGTTCTTGCATTACAATAACAGGGCCTCGAATGAGGCTTTCAAATTAGGAGTAATATTTCTTCAACCACTTGGCATTGAACGTGCCCAATATCTTTCTGCTTCCAATCCTTCCATTATCGTAATACCTACTAGAGCTGGCAGCCCTTACCTCAAAGGGACCCTCCCATTTTGGTGTGAACTTTGGTGCAGACGAGTTCCGCATCACATGTGTCGCAGTCTTCAAAACCAGGTCGCCCTCTTGAAACGCTCGAGGTCGAAAGGTGGCATTGTAAGCCCGAGCCACCCTCCTTTAGTAAACCACCATTTTGCTCTTCGCCTACTTCCTCTGCTCCTGAAGCCCCTCGAGCTCCCCGATCCGGTGGTCGAACTGCAGCTTGCTCCGTTCAGCTAGACTTCCAGAAGGAACTGCTATTTCAACCGGGAGCACCGCTTCTGTTCCATACACCAGGGAGAAAGGCGTTGCACCAGTAGCTCCTCTTCTTGTGGTACGGTATGCCCAAAGTGCGAGTGGCAGCTGCTCGACCCACTTGTCATGCTGCTCCTTCAGTGTTCGACTCAGGATTCGAATCAGTGTCTTATTGGTGGCCTCTGCTTGTCCATTGCCTTTTGGATAGTAGGGCGTTGATTTACGGTGAACCTTTGGAGAAACGCGCGGACTCGACTGTTGATAAAGGGTGTTCCATTGTCTGAAACAATGATTCGAGGTACACCGAAACGGCATATAATATTTTCTTTTATGAAGTTTGCCACTACTTGCCCGGTTGCCGTTGACAGGGCTATCGCCTCGACCCACTTAGTATAGACCTCCATCGCTACTAATATCCACTTCATTTTTTTGGACTTGGGTGAGATTGGTCCTATCAAATCCATAGCCCAGGTGTGGAATGGCCAAGGCGCGTCCGTGGGATGCAATTCCACAGCTGGCGCGTGGATGGCATTATTGTGGAGTTGGCATTCCCGACACTTTCGAGCGCAATCTTTGCTGTCAGCTTGCATAGTAGGCCAATAATAGCCCAATTGTATAATGCGATTGTACAGTTTCTTCCACCCTTAGTGTTTATCATCGTGGGCTTGCTTCAGAACTTCGTGAGCTTTAGCCAAATTGACGCATCGCTTAGCTTTACCATCAAAGCCTCGTCTCATTAGCTCGCCGCTGCAAATGAAGAATCGGCTTGCCTCCTTTCTGAGTAGAACAGCCTCCCCAGGATCCTGCGGGAGCGACCGATTTTCAAGATACTCCACATACTTGTGTCTCCAGTCTTCCTTGACATTGGCCATGGATTGGTTCCCCTCGAACAGCTCTCGGCAATTGTGGCATGCTTTCTGAATAGCCGCTGCCTCCTTTGCCATCGTCGGCCAATAGTATCCCTACCTTTGTATTCTTCGGTACAAGCTTAATGAATTGTCGCCACATGTGTGCCTGTGAATTTTGCCCAACACTTTACTGGTTTCCTTTCTTCCAACACACCTTGCCAGAGTTCCTCCGGGTGCCCTGAAATACAATACCCCCAGATACACTGTAAAATTTTTAAGTTCCATCAAAGGAATCTCGCCCACACCACCCTTCAGCTGCGACTCATAAGGGTCTCGCCAATCCTTATCCTCAGAGTCTGCAAATTGTGCGTCGTACAAGCATAACTCATTCTTTCTGTGAATTCGGATGTCTACTGATTCCCCTGTAATCTCGACTTTGGATGCCAGAGTGGCCAGAGCGTCCGGATGCCAATTAGCAGTCCTCGGCCCATGGGTTATTTGAAGTTCACTAAAATGACCACTGAGCTTCTGGATAATGGTTCTGTATGCCGCCAAAGCCGGCTCTTTGATGGCATAAGAGCCATCTAGTTGTTTTACCACCAAGTTTGAATCTCCTTGCACGTGCAACCGCTTGATTTTAGCTTCTCGTGCTGCCAGGAGACCTAACACCAGAGCTTCGTATTCTGCCGTTTTATTGGAACATCCGAAGGTAAGCTTGTATGAAAGATTTCTGGCTTGCCCCCCCTCAGGGGTCAACAATACTCCTGCGCCGCCTCCCGTAGAGGTCGATGATCCATCAAATGACAGCGTCCAAATCATGTTTTCATCTACGCAACAAATTGACTCAAACTCATCGAGGAGAAGGTCATCGTGCACCGGCTTGAAATTCCCAAAATGGAATCAGGCTATCAGATCAGCCATGGCCTGACTCAAAATAGCACGAGGTGCTAGGCATTGGATATCGAACTCGGCCAATATCAAAAGCCACCGCGCCACTCCTCCCGAAATGATCGGTCGCGAGAGCAGGTATCTCAACGGGTCACATTTGGTGATGAGATGAATGGTATGGGCTAAGAAATAATGGCAAAATTTCTTGGCTGCAAATGCGAGGGAAAAGCAATGGCGCTTTATCGGAGAATAGCGTGCCTCAGCACCTTGCACAACTTGGTTGATGTAATACATGGGGCGCTCTTAACCATCCTTTTCCTGGGCGAGAAGCGCTCCAATGGAGCATTCTGTCGAGGTAATGTAAAGTCTGAGGGAGATCCCTATCTGATGGGCCACCATGATGGTTGGCGAGGAGAGCAGTCCCCTGAGACGGTCGAGAGCTTGTTGGTGCTCCTCACTCCATCTGAACTCGGATTTTTTCTTCATCAGAGCACCAAAAGCATGAGTCACCTCGGCAAGCGCCGGTATGAAGCGTCGTAGATATGAGACCCACCATACCAAACTCTTTAGTTGCTTGAGAGATTGCGGCGGGGGCATTTCTATGATAGCTCGAGCCTTGCTTTGCTCAATGTCGATCCCTTGACGATGCACTATGAAGCCCAAGAAACAACCAGCCTCGACCCCAAAGGTACATTTCAGAGGATTCATCCTTAGCTTGAACTTCCGACATCTTTCGAAGACACTTCTCAGATTAGCCAAATGTTCACTCCGAACTCGGGATTTCACCACCAGATCATCCACATACTCCTCCATTTGCCTGTGTAACATGTCATGAAAAACAGCTGTCATGGCCCACTGGTAAGTGGCTCCTGTGTTCTTCAAGCCGAAGGGCAAGACTGTAAAATAGAAGTTCCCCATGGGGGTGCGGAATGTTGTTTTCTCTGCATCACACTGCGTCATTCTTATTTGATTATATCCGCTGTATCCATCCATGAACGAGAACATCTCATGCCTTGAGGTCGAGTCTACCAAGTTGTCAATTATAGGCAGCGGAAAATCATCATTAGGACATGCCTTATTCAAATCTCTAAAATCAACACAAACTCTGATTTTTCCATTTTTCTTCTTCACCAGAACCACATTCGCCAACCACGCTGGATGTTGAATTGGTTTGATAAAGCCGGCTCGCAAAACCTTCTGTACCTCCTCCTTTATTTGTAACTCAAGCTCTGGCCGAAAGCTCCTTTGCTCCTGCTTAACCGGGTATGCATCCGGTCGCACATTGAGATGGTAAGCCACTACTTGAGGGTCTAGTCCGGGCATTTCTTCATATGTCCAAGCAAAGACATCTTCGAACTCTTTGAGCAGAGCTACCAGTGCCGCTTTCTCATTTCTTTCTAGCTTTTTATACACATAGACTACCCGGGAACGGCCATCATTGCCTAAGTTGACTTCCTCTACCTCATCCTGACTGAGCCGAGTGGATTCGCTTGACTCCATTTTGGCTTCTTCCTCCGAGCTCGGGGATTCTACCTGACACGACTCCACTCGGGGGCGTGGTCTCGCCCAAGATCGTGCCCCCCAACACCGTCATAAACGGTACGCTATCCTCCCGTCGAACAAACGTATCCTTTTGCAGACAACTAGACTCCTCTTCTGGTTAGCAGCCGGCCTTGGTATTCTCTCCTCCTTTGGTTAGTCAATCTCCTCCCATTTCGGTAGAGGGAAGGCCCTCAATGGCTGGGGCTCCTCTGTATCTTCTAACTCGTTAAAGAATCCCGCCTCCACCATATGAGACTCTCTTTTAGTAAATGGTCGATCAAAGCAACGGACCATTATTTGTTTCCCGTTCCAGAACCCCTTCATGCATTGGTGATAAGAGGATGGTACGATCCCGAACTTGTGCATCCAACCTCGACACATGAGCAAATGGTAAGAGGTATCTGAATCAATGACATGAAATTTCACCGAACTTTTAAACTTCCCAATGGCCAGTTCGGCCGTCACGTGTCCCTCAGTTCTCCGGATATCACTTCCAAACCCGGCGATCTCAGTTCGCCTTCGGACAACTTTCTCGTCTGGGAGACCGCATGATATTGAGGGATGAACCATTATCTAGAAACGCCCGTTTGAGCTCGACCCCATTGAGCGACGCCATGACGTACAGTGGCCTGTTGTACGGAGTAGGGACACATTTGTCTTCCTCTGTAAAGACTATAGCTGACCCAGCTAACTTTTGTGATACAGGGAGTGACGCGATAGACGCTACTTCTTTGACACCCTCCTTCACCGCTAGCCACAGAAACTTCGCTATTTCCTTCTGGGCAAAAGGAGAAAAATCCATCTTTTGGAGAATATTCTTGACAGTGGCCGTTCCCAATAAACGAAATGCATCTAGGTCGTGTTCTTCTACCAGCGCGACCTGGTCGGCATCCTCCTCGACCCCTTCCTTGCCAATTGCCATTTCCGATACCATCATCACTACACCTCGATCGTGCGCAAGAAAAGGCTCTTCTCTCACATCCTTGGGGGGAAGAATGAGCTCGCCACTAGCAATCCGCCTATGGAAAGTATTTCGCAACGCCCAACAATCATAGGTAGGGTGACAAGTATACCGGTGATACAAGCAATACTTCGGATTAGCTATCTCCTCTGGTGTGGGCTCTCGGGCCACCTCGGGCAGCCTGATGTCTCTATGTTGGATCCATTTTTTAAGAATGGTCTCTACTTCCTCTGGAGTGCATGGGAACGACGGAGGAGCCTCGTCCGGATTCTTCGAGCGAGGAATACGGGCTGGCCTTGTGCCTCTCTTATTTGGAGATTCGTCCGCAGCCGAAACTTGAGGTCTACGCCTGCCTCGATACTCTTCTTGTGTGGCGGCGTGTGCACAAATAGCGAGGTTACTTGCCAAATTCCGGGATGCCTCTATCAGGTCGGTGAAAGTGAGGAGCTTGAGGTTAATGAGATGGATTCGATAAGACCCCTGCATGCCTTGTATGCAAATCTTGGCCAGCGCCTCCTCTTCATGGGTTTCAAAGCATTCCATGGCTCGGTCATGAAATCTATGGACATAGGTAAGCAAATCCTCTCCCGGGCCTTGAGTCTCTTTAGTCAAGGAAAGTGTAGTCACCCTTTCCTCTGCCTGAAAGAACTTTGACTGGAAAATCGTGACTAATTGGTTCCAGGTAGTGAGCGACCCGGATTCCAAATTCACATACCATTTGTAGGCCCTATCCGTGAGAGTTTTTGAAAACTCCCTCAGACGCAGGGTATGATCGTTTCCAAAGGGCCCCAGAGCCTCAATAAACCGTACCACATGCTCTCGGGGGTTCCCTTTCCTTCCATCAAACTTGCTAAACTTGGGGGTCAGGTACCCTGGGGGGTAAGGGAGAAGCGCAATGGATTGTGCGTAGGGTGGTTCAGGGGCTACCTCCTGCATCAGCATACTTTTTTCGTTTCGCAACAATGTTTGCAGGTCCGCCATAGTTACATATGGCGACCGCTGCGCAGGGTCCTTTTGATGTCCAAATCCCTCCGAGCCCGTGTCTCTGTGATGAGCCACTCTCCGACTGGTACTCGGCATACTCAACCTTGCAGGCGCCGTAAGAGGAATACTGAAGAGGGTTCAGCGAGCCCGCGGCGGTGTATCCCGCCATCGCCTGTGTCGACCAGTGGCTCACCTTGCCTCGGCTGACGACGAGAACGTCTGTCGCGCCGGATTGTCTGGGGTTGCATGTTCACCAAAGAGAGTATCACTCGGATTTGCGCCTTGCCACAGTGCTCCTTGGTCAGCAATCTGCCGCAGCAGGGTCACTACCTCCCTCTGAGTGCCTTCAAGCTACTCCATTCTGTGCGACAGTGAGTTATGGGCTTCGACTAGCACATCAGGATAAATAATCCTAGTTCCGGGGAAGTACGACCCAGGCATACTCACAGACCCATCGTAGCCCTCGCCTAAGGCAGGGCTGGTTTGAGAGGGCAGATTGATCTCTCGTATGCTTGACATAGGTGAAGCGCTCCTCCCCAACAGAGTAGCCAAAATGTTGATGGTAGTTCGTGAGCAGGACAAAGAGATCGTTCCATGTAAGCCAAGAGATTTGAGATCAGTATCCAAGTGGATATCTAAGCAACACAAGGGATTCTCTAAGTGAGGAGATTAAGAAAGGGAAGGCCGGCCTCAGTACCATGTGAGCTCGAGCTTATCCAAAGATAGATATTAATGTGGTGGTTCTGTTGTTTTAAGGCTGATTAACACCCCTATTTATAATGTTTACCTCCTCGATCAATGTCTTTTGGTCCTTTAGCTGAGCCCGCTCTTATCTAAAAGCTTGATGGTCTCTTCTTCTGACGGATGAGACATTGATGGATGGGCCGCTGCGCTTTGCCCCCCGGTTAAAGGAGGTAATGGCGCTCTTTAATTAATATGGGTCTCATCAAACGTCTTTCACAATTAATGCGTTTCTTATCCTTCATTGCTCGAGCTTAGGTACCAAGTATCCTTTCCCCCTTGTGTTGGCCTCGGGCTGAGGCGACCCCTTGGATCTCAGCCACCTATCCACATGCCCTCAGATTCCCGTGCTTCAGTGGGGATAGGTCCCTTTCGAGGTCCTGCCTTCATGACCTCGCAAGATCCTATCCCAATTTTATCCCGAGGTCCTCTTTGCCGAGACGGGAATTATGTAAACAGGTTAGTCGAGGTCGCTCCTTCAGAGAGCGTCCTCGAACGAGCCAGGGGGGTAAGAGCCCATCCGACTGGAGTGGGGCGCGTCCACAATGGAGGAAGGGTAGCGACCCATTCCTCGGCCAGTGAGTTCAGTTATCGAATAAGTAGCTCGAGAATACCTAATCCATTATGGGCACGCCAGGTCAGCACTAGCCAGTTGTGCCTATATTGCAGAGGTGGCACCACTTAACCAGCTATTGTAACGCGGTCATCAACAGTGAGTCATAAAGCCCGTGTTAGAGAAATACATTCAAAAAGGGCTGTCACCAATCCTCGATGTTGTGAATATATATTCCCTCTTGAGTTGGTTTAATTCTTTCAGTAATTCAACAATTTCTTCACTCACCGTCTTATTTCCAACCGTCTTATTTCCAACGTCTTTAAAGTCACAGAGAAAAGCAATTTCTTTTTTTTATTATATTTATATTTTTATATTTTTTTGACCAAATGGAACTTTAGAAGATGCATTTCAAAAGAAAAATAAGAAAATATTTACAAAGAAAAAAATATATTAAAATTTAACTCATCAAATTTGACAAGTCATTTTAACTCAACTTCCATGTGAACTCAGCCTCAACCCTCAACCCTCAACCTACGTAGATCTTTGCCAAATATCGAAAAAATAAAAATATAAGAATATTTTTACAGAAAAATATATATATTTTCCCAAAACGAAGCCGACTCCATAATTTATTGTATATTTCCTAATATTCTTATCGCAACAGAATCAAGGTGAAATGGGTCGGACGTATCTCACACGGGATCCAAAACTCCAACAATTAATATTCATATCACAAGACGTCTGGCAATGTTTATTGTGGGCATGAAATTAGGATGAGAACACTTGATACTAGTGAGTGATGGGGGCCAATAAGGCATCATGTTTTTACAACATTTAAGAACCAATAGTTAAAAAATTGCTATACATAGTTTCTTCCTTTTCCCATAGATTACAAAAAAATCAATACATGCTCTATGCTCTAACCTTATTTTCTGTGATTTGATTCAACAGTTCATATAATAATACTACCACCTGGTTCTGCTCTTTGGCCCTTCATTATTTGACATGGGATGCTACCACACATCATGTGGTATGACCAAACTAATCACTTCCTCCTGGACGTCTGTCTCAGTCTACGTTGGCTTGCGCCCACCACCAATCACTCCACCAAATGCAGGAAATTACACTACATTACATTTGGGCAAGACAGCCAAGGGGATAGACATTCTCGAGTCACTGCTTAATAGAACGAAGCTCCCACCTACCCTCCCCATCGATCAACCGCAATTCCTTTGAATGGAACGGTATTAAAGCAGGCCGCTGTTGACAGAACCAAAGTTATGAACCATGTAAGACAAGCAATATTTTATAAAACAAAGCACGAGGAGGGAGAGTAAATCATTAAGTATATACTAGGTAGATCAATTGAAAAATAAAAAAATAATAATAATTAAACAAAAAAAAAAAAAAAGGGGCTAATCCAGCACAGCCCAATCTATCATATGATCAGATCTACTGCATCACTGCTCACAATACCTGATGCATACCAATTTACTATGACAACATTCATATTATTACTTACCTGCGAGGATGTTATGAACGTGATGCCCATATCAGTTGCTAGTCTATAAAGGTGTTCTTCAACGTCAACACTTGTAGCACTGCCATTGAGGATCCGGGGAAAAAAAAATAATAATAGCAAGATACCATGAGATCACGGATAAGCCTTTTTTTTCTTGAGGAGAAAAAAAAAATTTAAAATAGCAAGTTTTTGTAGCATACTTGGTGCACTCATCAAGGATGCCAAAATTAGGCTTGTGAAAGAACAGACGTGCCTAGTAAAACAAAAAATATTTTGTCAAATACTTAACCACCACTTGGATAATAAATTGTTCTTGTTAAAAAATGGGTAAAGATGCTACAGAGCACGTGAGCTCACCATGCCTAATCTCTGCTGTTCCCCAAGAGATAGGATGTCCTCCCAGTTCTGATTAGCATCCCACCCACCGCCTTCTCTATCCAGAAGATAGAGCAGTTTAACCTTCTCAAGAATAGTTTTCAAATGTGCATCCAGAATGTTTGTGTCATCAACGGGTTTTTGACCTGAATTTTAGCAAGATTATGTTTGTAATCAGGAAAAAGAATAAAGCAAATAAAAAACAACTTCAATAAAATATTTAATGAAAGTGAAAGACGTGCACACTCATACAATAAACAGGAGGAGCAAAAAAATGTTATTTAAAATATATATATATATATGTATGTATCTAATCCAATAGAACAACGAGAACCAAAATAAAATAGAAAAAAGCATTCCTACATACAAATATATGCCAAAAACCAAACCAAAAACATTGCTCGAGTTCTTAAAGAGTTTTCAAAAGTTACATTAGACTTAAATGTACAACTACAGCTTGTGACAGGAGCCTTATTTCTAACTTTAAATTAATTGGATCCCTACCCTACCCCGCAAGAAGCAGTTCTTCATTTATGTATATTTACTCTTTCTTTTTCCTCAATATGAGATGTTTCACCAAGCATGAGCTTCAATAACAATTCCTCCACCTCCCAAAGAAGAAAGAAGAGGTTGACTGTCCAAGTCCCAATTACAAAGAAAACAACAAGACATGACTGTCCTATACCAGGGTCCTATACCTGCCACCTTTTCATGACCCACATGGCACACTACTGTAGCTTGTGTTTGTGGCTGATAAAGGGAGCTCTCTATTCCTAGTGCAAATTCAGGGTAGGGGTCACCTAGTCCAAACCCTGAGAAAGTATTATATACCACGGGGGTATGGTACCCCGGGTCAGTGGGAGCCATTGGATCATGGATGTGGTGATGGGCCCCACCACACCCATGGGTTGAGAAGACCCAGGGTACCATACCACCGGGGTATTTAATATTTTCTCCCAAACCTTGCAGGCTCTTGTACGTACTAATCCAGTTAAGACAAGTATCTCACTTGAGGAGAGAACATAATGCTGCACTGCTATGTTGAAAGCCCCAAAACTAGCTATCACACAACAGACAACTACCGCAAGCCTACTCAACTAAACTCATAAGCAGAGGCCTCGCAACTAATAGAGAAAAACAACCACTAGATGAGACTAGTATGGTAGTATTTGAGTCTCCTTGTTCGGATCTTGACCGGGAAAAACTATTTTCATTGTAAATTCTCTTTCATAGACCCAGATTGGAAAACCAACACTTTTTTAAACGAATGAAATATCCAAGAGCCAAAAGATAAGTATATAATTTTCGAAAGAGGAACACAGAAGCAGGAGGCTGTGAGACATGTTCCGGTATAAGATAGGGAAGAAAATTTCAAAGGATTGATATAAGAAACATATCATAAAGGATAATGAAGACATAAACTAATTTACCTTTTCTGTGCAAACTTAACGTCCTTTCCTCGGCTTCTTCACAGGAGAGAGGATATATAATTTGATCCCTCAGGGTTCCTAAGCATGTGTATGGTCGTTGAGGAACATAAAAGACCCCGCAACCAGATCCAGATTCCTTGTAAATATTTTGGAATGGTTTAACAAGTCTACCACTGGCGATGGGCCAAAGACCTCGAAGGACTCTAAAGAAGGAACTTTTCCCACTCCCATTTGGACCTTGAAAATATCGGACTTGTCAGAAGTGAAATATGCACAACAGGATAAACAAAGAAATATTTCACCAACCAGTAAGAAGTAGGCTGTTTCCTGGTAGGATATCACATGTCAACTCCCGAGCCAACAATTTCTGTGCTGGGGTAATGATGTCGACCTTCGAGAAGGAAATGATATCACCAGAGTGAGATTCAGCCGCCTTATGTGGAGAAGAAGTGCCACCAACAGGTTCCCCTGGAAGAATACCAGCTTATTAGCACAAATGCATAACCTTCAGGCGATTTTATCAAAATAAATATAAAACAAAAACATATTCATTAGGCAACCAATACAAAATAGTGCGACCATTATTTGCATAGAAAAACATTAAGCATGAGATTGCAACGAATCACGATGTCGACTATTCGAACAAAAAACAAACACAAGCCAAGTTGTACTGAACTTTTAGGTTATAAATGAAGAAGAATGAAACCAACACAAACATTGTGATGGAGAATCTGCAGGAGTACCAACCACATAATATACTTTTATTGTGTCTCACGTATGAAAACCCATAATACAATGTTGTTACAAAGACTTCAACTAATCTGATTAAGAAATCAATCAATCAGAAACAATTCACAAATATAACTCCTAAACACATAATACTGCCATATTAGAATCAACTAAAATATTAAATTAAATTAGGAAGCCTACCAATTAGAGAAGTTGATTTTATTTGCAACAAGATTAAAGATGGAAACATGTTATACGCTCAAGAATGTAGTTGTAATTCGTACCTCCTACATTAAAGAAGACACATATATTTCTTTCTTTATTCCCACTATTTGGAAGCAGCATTCAAGCAAGGGAAGGTCTCCGTTTATGTCCTCATAGTCATTATTATGTAGCAGTTGCACTGCTGATATACTTGTAAATTTACTTCTTATGATTGAATGCAAGGGGGTTACTGCCTATTATGAAGTACAAGGGGGTTATAAGCAAAGCATATATAATAGGAGGGGGTTATCTGCATTTAACCCTTTTTCAAAATGACAGCTATGCATAACTAATTTAAGTATATAGCGGTAATCCAAAAGAGTAAGCAAGCAGATTGATCTGTATATTTCATACCAACAACAAAAACAAAATCTTTGCTGAGACCAAATTGATGGTTACCTATAAAAAAAGGCATCATTCTACTAATCAAGTGATCAATGTTTAAGCATTTATCCATCATCACAAGCCCTGCAACAAAACTCATTGATAGGAACCAAAGCAATATACAACTTTTTTGCCCCAGTAGTCCATTCCCTGTTAGAGAGGGCCTTATAGTATGATTTATGTGAGAAAAAGCAAATTACAGTCTTTCAGTACCAGCACAATTTCATCGTCTGGGAAAGCTAATTATATGATAAAGCAACACTCTCCAATTCCTGATAATGGAGTCTTCTAGTAAAAACAATATTCCAATGCATGGCCCACCACCAGACCACAATCTTTCACCATCCATCACCGTTTACAAATATCTCATAAAGATGGGGAATTCTTCCTTAAGGAAGGTCTCCCCAAAACTTCATGCTGTCACCCTCTCACTTTGCAACTCACCAAAAGTATCAAGGTCATTTACATCAAATTTGCTTTCTAAAGGTCCACTCCCATCTAATTTATACTTCCAGACTACAATTTTCTATCTTACTCTACTCTTCCTAAGGTGAATCTCCATAGTCATTTTCCTAAAAGAGCATGATTCACACAAATCAATGACATTAGACACCAGCCTTTTGTAGAGAGTAAAAACAATCACAGACTTCACAACTCAAGATGGAACCTAAACTCTTTGCTCATCCCTTAGAAGATTCCCCAACCTTCTAGACACCAAAACAAAGGATCCTTTAGAACAATATAACCAACCTTATGGTGGTTGGAATGCTTCCTAAAGTACTTTTTAAAAGTTAACTTCTCTCCCCTAGAACAATAAAAATTTGCCACCTATCTCATCTCATCCCTAGCAGTAAGTGACTCCCACATTCTACTTTCTAAGTGTTGAAATATATAAAAAGTTGAAGAAAGAAATTAAACATGAAGACCACAAGGATAGACACACAAAGCCCAAAGGGCTACATCACTTTTATTATATTCTCTCTTAAGATTGTTTACAATGAGCACCCCTATTTATAGGTGAAAGAACAACGTGATGAATATGGAGAATACATTAATGGAGGATTCATAAAATCAATCCCATAAATCACTCCAATCATACTCTATCATAGACTAAAATCAGTCCTACAATATTCTCAAAGCAATATTTTGTGGATTAATTTAAGGTTCCTATAATAATATTCTCCAACAATAAGAAAATAAAAAAGGCAAACCAAGAAATGAACATGAAAGACTCCCTATTTTATGACAAAAAAGATCTCCACTACCCCTGTTTGCATTAATTTGATTCTTCATAAAATAATCTTAAGCCCCAACACTATCTCAAAACAAGCAACACCCCCCACAATTATTGAAACTTAACCTCATTCAGACCATAAAGAAAATGATAACAACAAAAATAATGGTCGTACTGCACTAGTGCAAAAATTTTGATTGAATAGAGATTAAAGTCCTTACCATTTGGATCATATAATTCATCTAGTCAAGCAACATCATGAAAAGATCAAACTAAGGACCCCAGATATGTCTATGGATTAAAAGTACTACAATAATCCCAAACTAATAAGAAAACTTCAAAAACACACCACCAAAAAAATAATGGCTGTCATTACATTAACAGAATTTTGAAAGAGAGCCAATTGAAGTTTTTTATCGTGGACCGTTTCATCCATTTAGTCAGATAACTCCACAAAGTACCAATATTAAAGAATCTAGATGACTAAGGATTCAAATTACTATAATCTTACACTAACAAGACAACCTTACTAGAGTCAAATGTCAGCTTTCATTTGAAAAACCTAACATTGCATCATGCCTCAACCTAACTTAAATCAACAGTCTTAATCCTAATTCAATGGAGTGAATCAGACCAATCCTTTGCCACCATCCACAGCTATTGAAGATAAATTTTCCTCAATACTAGAAAATCATTGAAAGCAGGGCCACTTGTGTTGGCTGCTGACAACATCAATAAATGCGAAGGTGTGTCAAACATTTAGCTGGACCATATGTTTTGCAATCCACAAAAGTTGGATTCCCCTTGGTACAAAACAGAATGTTGGATATTTTGTAAAGGCAAATTTAATTGTGCCCAATATAGATTGATAGCGAGCAATATAAAGGACGTCCAAAAAAAAAAAAAAAAACGAACATAAAATAGAATTCATAGATGTCTTCAAAAAAAATTCAGAAGAAATAACTTTTTGTTGAAAGATCAATTCAAAGAGATATAAATTCAGTGGGACAGTCAACAAGCAGAAAAGGACACACCAGATTGAGCAGCATCTAGAAGTTCTTCAAGCTCAAAAATCCGATTAATACCCCCCGATAGCTCAAGGAATTTTCTATGTAGTTCAAGAATGTCGCCAAAAGCTAAAAAGCTTTGAGATACAACAGATGCTAAGAACCGCAGTGCATGAGCCAGCTCACCTGAAAAATTATAGAATGAAAACAGTTCCAACTTTAATTTGCTAAACAGGAATTACCATAACCGAATCAACAAGACTCTCTAATTTAAAGTCACCTTGAGTTGAAGTCAAGGCTCGATCTCCCTTGTGTTCCATAGCATATAACAAACTCAAACCCCAGGTAACATTGTGTGGGAGTTGTTTAGTGATAAAGTCATCCAGCATACCATATAGCCATTTCTTCCTTAGAAGTAACGCAGAGTGATCGAGAAGTTCCCCAAATCTTGATTCAACCATCTGTTTAATACAAGAAGCGTCACCGAGGAATAGACAGATGATTATAACAAGCGGATTACATTATACAGGAGTAAATCAATCAGTAAGGGGAATAATGAACCTTGATTTGTTCGGTATTTACCAAAATCAAATTTCCATCTGTAATCTTAGAAAAAAGCAATGTTCTTTTAGAAATAAGACAATTAACAAGTATAACTACTGGCCATATGACCAATAGTACCTTGCTGCCCCCTCCTTGAATTAGTTTCCTGAAGTCTTGAGACTCACTAGCACCCTATTCCTCACGAGGAAAGGTGGAGCTATGAAGCATTAACACTTCTTACTCCCTTGTTGTGTCCACTCTGTGTCCTATTTCAAACTTTCTTAGACCGTATCATGTCCTGTCCATATTCGTACTACGTAGGGTAACAATTTAGTTTATGGGCAAAGGTAGGGGATAAAGAGTGCTCGGAAAAAGGATAAACAATAACTTGTGCAAAACAAATCTACCAGACCCTGAATTTAGTAAATAAAGTATTCCCTGCCCTTAAACAGAGTCAGTTCGCTTAAAACTCCAATGACAATATAGCAGGGCAGAAGAAAATTAGTTATATAAACCATGGAATGACATTAATCCAAGTTTTCATAGCCCTAATTAAAGGGAGGTCCATCAATCAATTTTTCTCCACAAACTCTTCAAACAACCTTATCATTTCTCACTGATAGACTACAGCACCATACCATCATCACCAGAAGTCCAGAAAATGCCCTCAAAATGAATAAAGCTCTAATAAAAGAGGTCCCAGGGGAAGTGCTTATTAAGCCTAGAAACATTCTTCACTATGCAAGAAATTAAGATGGGGATGGCTCAGAAAGACAAGGAACATTCATACTGTGCTGACAGAAAGCAGTTATACCAATGATTTATTAACCAGCTAGGAAGCGCTGGAATGCATGAACCTTCAACTAGTATGTCATGGGCCTAAACTCTCAAAATATTTTCAGAGAAAATTTTTATTCCAGCCAATTCATTGATCCCAACAATCACTATCTTGCTACAACAATGTCATGGAGAGACCTAATCTTTGATATTTCACGAAGTGAGTGCTTTGGGACTTGAACTTGCACCAATGATACTGATGTTCATTACCCAGTGTCGTACCGACCTTTAAATTGTTTGAACTGTTCAAGAATAATAAGAACTCGCTGGTTTCCAAAACCTACTCAAAAACTATTTTTGGGGAATTTTTCCTCATCTGCTTCCTCCTTTATGAAGCATCGAAAGCCCTAAGGTATACAGGATGTTCTCACAATAAAAACAAATCTCTTCTTCATCGTCCTTTTCGTCATCCACCGTTCTTCTACGTCATCTTAACATTAGATTTTTCTAATTTGAGGAAGTTACACACTTGGAAGACACAAAACTCAAGTTCCTGAACAAGAAGAGGGAAAAAGAAGAGTTTCAGGTAGTTGTACCACATGCAGGACCTTTTACTGCTTCAGTGGGTCGTCAAGGCCCTAGGATATCCCAACCATCAAACCGCCAAAAAAATAAAATAAATAAATAATAATAATAATAATAATAATAATAAAACTAATATGTGTTTCTACTATTCTTATTGTTTGCTTTCTTTTCTCCCTTTTTCAATTAGTGTCAATTTGATTACGGTCTGAAGTCATGATCAATCCACTTGTGAGTTGACCATGAATCCAACTCCAACCATTGGACTCAAAAATCACAATTAGTTTATTCTTTTCACTTGACATTTTATCTTGCTCATTCTTTATAAATTTTGAAGTGATTTGTTAAATTTCATATTGTTCTCTCGGTGCACCAATTTGAATATTTAATTGATTAAAACTTGTTTAATATGCCCTTCTTTAAATTAAGCTTGCTTAACATGATTACCACTGGCAGTTTGCCCAGGTGTTATCTGAGTCTCTTTAAAAAAACCCTGATTGTGGGTTTTGACCTCACCATCCATCCTCCCCAGGCACGGAGCCAAGTGAGGCCCAGTGGGGGCGGGCACCCCCATTGGAATTTTTTTCATTTACATTCCATTCTTTTGAGTTTATCAAAATTCTAATAATACCCCACAAATCTTTAAACATTTTCACTCCTGCCCCCACTAAAAGTTTTATTTATTTATATTACATTCTTGAGAGTTTCTCAAATCATAAACGATCAGTTTGGTTCAATGGTTTTGGATTTTCTGATGTGCAAATATATATGTGTGTGCGTGTGCATGCGTACATATGCATAAAAAATATATATATACATAGCAATCAAATGAAAAACCAAAATTTCAAGCATATATAATGATCCTATATACTGAAGTGTAAGATAAGTTATATTCTCCACCAGTAAAAATTGAACAAGTGTATTATATTGCATATTTATTTATTTATTACTAACGATTTGTTTCGGTTCACTTCATTCCTTTTGGCCTCCAAACCTAGAACCAAACCATATTCAATGATTCCTTAAATTTTAGAACCGAAACCAACTTCCATTACAAACCCGGACAATACTGCACAGTACAATTTTGTCTGGTTTGGTCTAGGAAGCATGAACACGCCTAAAAGGTAAGTGTTTATATCAAACACACGCTGGACACTCCAAAAAACGTGTCTAGAAGCTTTTCCATTTTGGACACGTTGCAGATGCTCCATAGACATGCATCAAACATGCGGTCAAAATGTGGGCACACATGCCTGATTAAAAGGGAATTTTTAGAAGATTTCAAAAAAAAAAAAAAAAAAGAAAGAAAGTGGATTAATATACAGTATGTACAATGCTTTGAAAATATTCAATAATATAAAGGTCAAAACATTAAAATATATATATATATATATGAAATTTATCAATCCACTTTATTTACTTGACTTTTTATACTTATTACCTGTTTGATATAGGAAAAGATCACAAAGAGAAAATGGTAGGAATCTTGCTCTCTTTCGCAATCAAGCTTCGAACTTGCAATGCCCAATCATCAAAACTTGATTGCTGGCAGACCACCTTTTTCTTCTTTATGAAACCCTCTTTCTCTATCTTTTTTTCCCCCTATTTGCATTGTTATCTTCTTCCTATCACAAAGCTTTTTCTTACTCTATAGATTCTCACTTTTATTATCAGCAAGGTGCTTATTTTTTCCTCAACAAAATTTTAACTGTCTTTATTTCTTTTATTATTAACTAATTCTCTTTCCCCTAATAGAAATCCCTTTCTTTTCTTCAAGAAAGCCGTAATTTTAGAGAGGGTTTAAAATTCTCCTTCAGCCAATTCTCTCTCTCCCTTCTTTTTTCTCTTCTTTAATGAGAGAATTATTGTTGTAGATCATTAGTTATTGTGATCTGAGATTTTTTATTTTTAATTTGATGAAAAGTAATATTAGCACAAATAAAAATATAAATTTATTATTCGTTGTGTCCCCACCATGTCCTCATCTTCACTCTTTAAGATTTGTCGTGCACGTGTCGTGTCGTATCCATGTTGTCTATCTGTATCACTGATTCTTAGGGTCCAGTTTACTAGTTCTAACGAGTTCCATCTTAAAGAATCCTTCCTATCCTGTTGCAAAGGTGAGCTATAAATGATCACCATTAGTAACTCTTAGTAAGAGTTAATTTACCTGGAGGTTGGAAAGGAAAGGATATAGTCTAAGAAGCACGGACAATTCTATGAAGATGCTGTGTCCATGTCGGAAACGACACTCCATGGACATGTCATGGACACGTGTCCGATACTTCATGAACGTGTCTATAATTTAGAAATAATTTTTATTAATTCGAACACTTGGCTGAAACATCCCAAACATTCGACTAACAGATCCTGAACACTCGACTAACATGTCCTACACTCTCAAATACAAGTCTTATATAATACAAGCATATAACAATATTGAAACATACAAATACAGTTCAAAGTGTCTAGCCTCCTTTTCTTTTAAAAGAAAATTGATAAAAACTCGACCCATTAAGTCAAACCACATAGTATCATATCTTTCCTTGCTAACTCTACCCATGTTAGTTTTGGTACTCTTCCTTTTTCCGTAACATGTCATTGTTCCCGACTGGTGCACTAAGTGGCCATTCTAGCACAATACCCCATAGGTAAATGAAGACAGAAAGAATATGAGTTGTAGAACGGAAAGATTTATCAGTATTCTCTTCCATTCTATTTTATAAAATGGATATTGAAGCCTCATTTTCAGTCCAACTTTTATTGTGAAAGCAATCTATGCCCTCCCACCAAGATATGGTAAATTCATTACTAATATAGCATGGCCACAGACACAAATCAAGCTGTGATATTCACCAAAGTATCAAGCAATAACGATAAAAATGCAAACAATAACTCATAAAAAGGTAGTAGCACCCAAATTTCAAGCATGTGGAAATTGGAACGTAGTGAAATTCCAGAACTAACCGCTTTTTCTCTAGCACCACCCCCAAAGAAAGCAATGGATTCGGCATGCGTACGCAATCTCTCATGCATGAATCTAATTAATGAATGGTATAACAAGTCAGACTGATGTTCATAGAAATATAGACTCAAAGAAGCAGTACAATAAACATCAACAGATTCTGAAATGACCTAAAGGTTCCCTCAAGTTGTTGTTCTCGACTTCCCAGGTCACCAAAATCAGGAGTAACACTCCTCAGAAAACCCAGACCCAGTAACATATAAGCATATAATATAGCAACTCCCCTTCGACCTGTTAATAGCTTCATTCTCCAGGTGAACCTAAACAATTGGAGCATTGCTTTAGATTATTGAAGAAAAAGTGAAAATATGCATTTTACCTCAAACCAAGATCTTGCAATGAAGCCAAAATACAACCACAAAGAAAACTTAATAACCATTGCCACACACACTCACCATAAAATGTCGACAGATGGTTTTACCATTCCAGTAAGCAGCCCTGACAAATCAGTTGTTAATTTCTCCAAATCTTGTGTCATTCTCTGATCTGCATCAACATTTATGCTTGACATGTGGAATACCTACAAACATATGCATTTGACATTAATTTGGTAACGTTCTTAGTTTCGCGTGTCTCAACTTTGGATGCTATAAATATACAGCATTGACCAAACTCAGAAGCCAAACTCAGTGCATGAAACTGTCAATTATTCTTTTCTGAAAAAGAACTACAAAAGTACTATTTGAAAGTGTTTTAAAGAAAATGGAAATGGAGATACCAAATTCTAAATTCTATAATGACATGTTATAAAAACAAGACAGTAACTGCCAGGCAAGAGAATATAACCAATATTCTAAGTTCAGCCCGAGTAAAAAGGAAACACTCCCATTCCTATTCCATTACCTTGTAGTATGCGTTCTTTCTTAAGTAGTTCCTCAGTAAATGTTGAGTCAAACGAATCCTCCATCCAAGGGCAAGTCTGGCCGTCAAGTGCCTATGTAACAAGGAAAAATAAATAAAATATAGTGAAACCCTAATGTGTAGTAAAAACTACTACTAACTACAACAACAACAAAGCTTTTTTCTAACAAGTGCTCCAAAACAAGATTCCCTCACTCAGAAACCTCCACCGTACATCCCTTTCAGTGCGGTGATAAGACAGAGTTTGTAGAAACTTATTCATTGCAGTAATATGGAAAATATGGAGGAATAGAAATCAGAACCTTCAATGGAGGTCAGGCCTTACTTAACAAAAAAATAATAATAATAATAAATAAAAACGAGGTCAGGCCTTAATGCTATTCAAGTCGCCAGATGGGTGGTTTGGGAGGTTTTGGACTCCAGGGGGTTGAAAAACTCTGATCTGCAGACCTTAACTAATGATTGTGAATGATAATTCATTTAAGAACATAAGGTTGTTGCCGTCCAATTTTCTTAATATAAAAATATCTATTTGTGCTGAGTTCCAGTTATGGTTGGAGCTTTTTACAAGTGTGTTGGATTAGGACTGGCTATGTGGATACTGGTTTGGCTCAGTTCCAAAACTGGTTTAATCAGAGATCAGTTGCTACATTCTGGGTTTGGCTTCTTTTTAGAATGGTTAAGTGTTGGCCGGAGATGTTCAGATCTATTGGTGTTGGGTACTGCCGTTGGGCCCTTGTTTGGTGTAATGTGTTGAGTGGGAAGCAGTATTCTGCTTGCGCTTGGGTTATGGAGGATGATTCCAGGGGTTATCCTAGTGATAAGCAGCTGTTTTGTTATTTTCTTTTTGTTTGTAGAGGACTACAGCTTTTGTTATTTTTAGTTGCTAGCTTTTGAAAATGGGCATATTCGAGCCCTTTGTATGGTGAGGGCATACATAGTTTGTGTTTTATTCAATGAAATTCACTTTTTTTTTTTTTTTTTTGGGAGGGGGGGGGGGGGGAGGGGGGGGGGAGAGAACAAAAACTTCTTCCCAACTACTCGTGAAATTGTACTGAATATGATGCATTCTTAGGAGCAATTTATTACATAAGCCAACTCAGCCCTTTGAAACAAAAAATTCTTCATGAAAGATATGAAAATACACGAATAATGACATTCAGAGTCTATACACAAAGACTGAAATAAGGACTTGGCCTGCTCTAATCTAAAGATTTATGATAGCATTATGTTATCAGAAGTCACACTCAGAAAAACCAATCATGGGCCACAGCATTCAATGTGTCATGAGGGAATAGACAGATCTTAAGAACACATATTATATAAGAAAATTCATTTGGATCTCATGTCACCAGAAGCATATGCAAATGCATGGTGGTACCCGGGACATTGATTCAGGCTGAGAAGCAAACTAAACAGAAGCCTAAGTTCAGTCAACCTTGTGGCCCAGCACATTATTGAGTTATCCTTTGCAAAAGGTCCTAAGTAGGGTTATTAATGGAGTCTTCAGAATGTTCACTTTTAACTTTCATGCGTATAAAGCAATGTGTTTTGTATCAAATAAATATGCTCAAGGGTTTCTTAGTATGCCAAATATACTGAGCCATTGAAATTACCTTAAAGACGGTGCAATGAACGACGATGCAGCACTTTGAAGAACACTCACACCAATCAACCGAATAAAGGATGCCTTATCTTGCTCTAAAACGTACCTAACGGTAGTCCCTGAGAAAACCAAGGTATTTATATCACAAGAACATGATCCCTCTGATTTTGAAATGCAGCATTGAGGTCAAAGAATAAATAACTAAATAAAAAAACAAGAAAAGAAAGAAAGAATAGAAGGATACCATTTAAAGAGGCAATACGATCTGATATCCAAGTTCTTGAGACCACAAGAACAGCAACTGCAAGGAGTTGTGCCCCCTGTTTATCAAGTACTGAGGGAACCTAAAATAAGCAGTGAGAAGGTCAACGAGAACGTTATAGAAGATTGTAATTGTGGATCTAAAGATATATATTTGTGTACTATTGGATTTATGATAGCCCTAGGGTGCCATTAGGTAGATAACGGATGAATCACATTAAACCAATAAGTAATGGATTAACCACAGAACTGAGAAAGTAACAATCCAACAAACATCAGATTGCCATACAACTGAAAGATAAGAGATGCAAACAAATGGTTCCAGAACAAACTAAGATCTCAGTTACTTACAAACTCCAAAAGGCAGATGATTCTAACATAAAATTGATAGGTAACCAGAATTGGTGGTGGACAATCTGCAGTCCCATTGAGAAAACTTTACAATATACTGTATTTTTGGAACCGAGCATTTTCCCATTGTTATTCATCTTCTAGGGGTCAGGACTCAGAAGTTAAATTAAATGTGTAACACTGACAGACTATATAATTACCTCCAAAGACTACAACTAACAGGCTTCATACAAGGAAAAGCTAAACTGTACAGCAAGAAATCACTTAACACGTAATAAGGACAATTTATAACTATTTTCTCAACAGACAAAAAAAAGTTATCAGCATCAAAGAAACTGGAAGATAACCTCCAAATATTATTCTGAACAACACCATGTTATAATTATTGAGGGGAAATAGTTTTAAGGAACTGAATATGTTTTAGATGCAGAAAACTGATTTTGTGCCAAAGTATATGCATCAAGTAATTCCATCAAGATTTCATTCTAACATATGGCTGCTCATTGGCCCATAAACTGCAATCATTTCTACTCTGGTGCAGTAGCATCAGCAATGACCAAAAGAAATTAGACTACACGGGTGGTATGTAACAAAGCAGTATCAATACCAAAAAAACAAAGCATTTTTCATCAAAAGATCCTAGTCATTATTAATCAATCAACTCCAAATAAGGTTCTATGGGGAGTTCAATATCTTCAGTCACAAACATAACACGATCATAAAATCCTATAAAGATAAAAGTCACCAATAAATAATACACCATCCTGAAATGGACAATGAAACAATGTTAGGGATACCATGAAAAAGAAGATCCGGAAAGCTGCAGCGGTGAGAATTATTAAGTTGAGCAAGCAAAGGAGACATCTAGTATTCAAAGGAAATCATTCTAGAATAAATCCAAAACTTAATTCAACAATCATTACAATGAAGAATGGGAGCTCTAATTTGGATCATAATACAAAAAATAAATAATTTAGTGTATTAAACAGTTTCAGAAGATGAAGGGTATGCGAGACATTTAACCAAGAATTCCTCACAGAGAGTCTACAAGAAAATTGTTCTTCCAGATAAAGTACTCACCAGTACTTTAAACATGGCAGCGACTCTCAATGGCAGCATCCTTTGAGCAGTTCCGAGTTGTGGAATGATGGGCAATGGAACATCATGATCCCAAGAGGGAGACGCTGCTATTAACTCTGAAATATATGATTGTTCCTTTGAATTTGAGAATGCAGAATCCTAATATAAGATCACCAACAAGGTTTTCAAAATGAAAAATTAGGTTTAAAAGAAAAGTTCCAAGAACAGAATATAATAATTCTCAAACCTTTTTTGTATTGGCAAATGCACGTTGAACTGCGATTGCATCACTTTGGCGGTCTGTCTCAGATGACTTCATACTATTGAACCCAGCTGAAGTAAGAACTGGAGAATCATCCCTGTAGAATTCATGAAAGCATTATTAACAAAGATCTGCAGCCACAAAACAAATGGGCGCAGTAAGATTGAAAAGTGAAATAAAAAAGTCAGTTCACCAACTGAAAGTTTCAACCTCTTGTAATGAACATTCCAGCCTCCTTCACCATCTAAGGACAAGATCACGTCATGAAATGCAACTAGTGCAGGGCGATGGGATATAGTTATGCAAGATGTTCCCATGGCTCGAACTTTAGCACAGAAGCGCTCTTCCATATCAGTCGTCACAGCACTGGTACATTCATCAAGAATAGCAAATTTGGGTTTATGGTAGAAGAGTCTGGCCATTCCCAATCTTTGCTGCTCACCAAGAGATAGTTCATCACCCCAATTTATCTCTTTTTCAGGTGGGTAACGATCTAAAAGATATTCAAGGTCAACCTAGTAAAAAGACAAAAAAATTCCATTAAAAATTATGCCAAAGAAAATCTTGAAGATTCAGTAGACCCATGATATGATTAACTCAATCAAAGAGAAAAATGAGAGATCTCAGAGAACCCATGCAATTCTAAATAAACTAAGGCTATGTTTGGCTGCATGGAATTGGAGCCTTGGAATTGGAATTGGTGGAATTGGAGAAAATTTTGGTTCAATTTTGTGAGTTGCTTTTCTCCAATTCCAAAAATTCCAATTCCAAAGCTACAATTCCATGCAGCCGAACACAGCCCAAGAGAAAAAAGAATATTGTAAAAAAACTTACATTTTTCAACAGCTCAACCATTCCACTATGCATGAGCGGTTCAACCTCTTGATCTGCAGTAAGAGGATAGATTAACTGGTCGCGTAGTGTTCCTAAAGCCGTATATGGTCGTTGTGGCACATAGAAAATCTCCTTATTCAGATCAGAACCAATCCCAGGTTTCACAATATGACCAGAAACTAATGGCCAAAGGCCACCTAAAACTCGGAAAAGCGAGCTCTTGCCGCTACCATTCGGACCTTCAGCAAAACAAAATGCAATATAAGTTCTCCTTGTCAAATATTATATACACAAGCAATGTCGAAGAAACTCGTGCTATTGACATCCATCCATATTTAAGCATATGTTCAAGCATCGCATACAATTCTTTTTTATGATCTCTCCCCCCACCCCCCAGTGCAACAACAAGCATGTTCCAACAGGGACCTGAATCCTGTACCTCCCTTCTGCCCAAGTAAAAGCTGGCACTCTTTGTATACCAGTATAACCAGAAACAAAATATAGCATCAAGTTTAGGCAAACAAACAATAAAGAATGCTGGAATGATCGCGCAAACAAAATGACCACCAAATAAAATCTAGATGAAAGCCTGCGTTATCTATTTCTAGGCCATCATCATCTATGTTAGATGCATATTTAAAAAATTGTGAAGGACCTTTCAAGCACAACATGATATCACCGTTATGGATATGGATAACAAACATTCTGTAGTAAAGAACATATTCCTAATTTACTTGAAGTTCTATACCATAATTTCTTAATGAGTTAGATATGTCTAAAAGGGAATGGTTCTCAGATTTTCAACCCTATTTTATGTAAGCAAGTCCTGTTATCCTTGATATAATGAAAACAGGAACTATCAGAAATCAACATTCAAGACACATTCTAAAATGCCCTGAATAAATGAATCCACACATTACCCACACCATAAATAGGTATCCAGGTCCACGCAATATACAAGTTATATTTTCAAAAGCTTAATAAACAATGTAAAAAAATACTGAAAATTTTAGTTTAGCACATGGCACCTCAATACAAGAATTATAGAGATGTTCCATGCTTGTTTACTTCCTGTATTCAGCTATTCGATCTCCCAATAATTTTTGCATGCCATTAATTTGAAAATACATATACATATGAGTCGAGGGCAGAAAGTAAGAAAGCAGCGAAGAGCCCAGGCCAAGAAGCATAATTGTAGCTACCCAACCAGACCCCCTGCCACCAGTGTGACTTGTGAGGGAGAAACAACTTTCAAGAATTTGAGATGTAGTAAACTCCATGAAAACATGTCTTTCTCGCTTTCAGTTTGAACATTTATCATCAGTGTTGTCTGAGAGAATATATTTTGTTATCATATTAACACAAACATGCACGATCTTTATAAAGTCATGCTTCCCAGGATGTCCATTTGCATGACTTTTTACAATCCCTTTAAAATCAATCAGTGGGAATATATAACATGTTACCAGAGTGCAGTCACAAATTTGAGAACTTTGAAGGGATCGAAAGAAAGAGCGAAGAGCCTCAGCCCTTAAAAGAACTGCAGTGTACAATTAATTAAGTAAAAAATGGATACTCTGAATTCATAACTGAAGCTTTCCCTACTTACTTCAACAGAAAAATCAATAGGAATAGAACCACAAAAAGAACCACACTTTCAAGGACAATGTGATGTTTTAAGATAAGGAAATACAAAAATGAAGTTTATAATTATAAGTAGATGAAATCACCTGTGATCAAAAGATTAGATCCTGATTCAACCCTTAGAGTCAAATCCTCCACCAGAACATTACCAGTTGGGGTAACAACCTGGAAGATACTATATTAATTTCAAAATATATAACAGATAGATGATTGTGAAACATGGAGTCCATGATTTTCCAAGTACCTTAACACCATCAAACTCAATGTAATTAGCTTCAGTCACGTAATTCCTGCTCCCGTTTCTTCGCGGAGAAGATATATCATTAATGCTTAACTCTCGCGATACAATCATGAGTTCATGAATACGATCCGCATAACCACTGCAAATTAAATGGTTAAACTTACAAATGACCAAAAGGTCAGGCACAGGAAGATGAATTATTAGCATGCTTCTTTCTACTATGTTGTCAAGCCCCCAATATCCAGCTTATTAAACTGCGAATACATTAAGGAACAACATTTGACAGGAAAAAAAAGTTCACCTTTGTATCATCTGTTACCATTATGTAATGGCTGTCAAGGACATTTCGGTCAAAACCCACATCTATGGATTGTTGGCAGACTTAATTGTTTCCCATTTTTTAAACATATTCTGTCTACTTACTCCCCATCCATGTGGGATAAAGGCAAGGATGATGATGATGATTGTGTCTACTAAAAGTCCAAGTTCCACACTGGAGGCTAAATTTACAATTTAAATGCTAGATGGACTAAATCAGAGGCTAGACTAAAACAAGAAATTTTGGAAATTTAAGGGTTTTTTCTGTAAGAACTAAGTCATGAGCCTATTGTTGGTTCAAGTTGCAAGTAATTATATATTTTGGGAGGTTTTTCGTTTTTTAATTGTTATTTTACCATGAAACATATATGACTACACGCATAGATCTGCATTCAGTAAAATGATTAGCATCAACCATATACTATCGCCACCTTGCTAATTTTAACGCTTTATATGTTACTTTCTTTAACATCCCACCAATCTTAACACCATGATATGAAGTATCTATTTTTGTGCTATTACTTCTTTATTTTCAAATATTATATTTTCCTTAATTTTAATATTAGTTAATCTCTATCAGTTTAGTATTTGTTTGACTCGGACTTAAAGCAATAAGAATCTAGTGATTAAAGTGACTAACTCATAGGAGTATAAGTTATCTTTAAACATTAAGTAGTAAGAATAATGCAAAAAATGGCAACTCACATGATCTCGACAACAAATATAAAGATCAAAAACCTGCATGCCGTTTTTTTTAAAGGTTGTGAATCAATGATGTATGAAATATGAACATAAACTTATTATTTATGTTATGTAGTAATGGAGTAAATTACTATGTAGTAATATTGCATTTTTAACCTTTCAACCAACAAATATTTGGCTCTTCTTTTAGTTATCAGTTTTAGACTTGTAGTTGCATTTCTAGTCATTACTTCTATATTGGCGCAACCGTAAGGTTGCTCCATTATGACCTGGTGGTCACAGGTTCGAAACAAAAAACAACACTCTCGGTATTGTTACACCATGATCATGACATAAGCCAATACCATGATTTTAAACCATGGAAGCAAATAATCAAAATGCAAGGGATATTGCATCAACATGCTATGTGGGACCACAAGAAAGTCAAGAAAACTCAGCATAATATGTTGTTATGGCCTTAGACGTTCACTCCCAAACAACATCAAAGTGCACATTAAACCAGTGAAGAATTAAATCTTATGAATGACTACAACAAACAACTGCCTAGTAAAGCAAACAAAATCTGCGGAACGAAAAAAGTACAAACCTTCCAATCCATCAAATCTGCAATTTTTTTGGTGATGCAATTCAAGAAGTGATTATCTTGCGTATCAAACTAAAATGTTTTAGGTAATTACAGTCATTGCTTAGCGGCATGCTAGAGAAAATGCCCCGTGTCATATCCCTAAAATGCTGAAACAAGAAATGGATCAAGCAATACCTTAGACGATTAAGCCGCCTTGAACTGATGGAAAGAGTTCCCAGGGACTGAAAAAGTGATATTATAACACTAGTATGATATCTTAGATTGCTCAGCATCTCTGCTCGTCCTAAAGTTGAAGTGTCAGGTCTTAAATTGCCAGAAAAGAAGGGCTCAATAATCAGGATAACAGCAACAGTAGCACCAAGATACTTTAATAAGAAATCTTGAATCATGCCAAACCACCAATGGTCATGTAGAACAACACTCAAGTGCCGCACAAGAGTCTTAAACTTTCGCTGAATATGAGATTCTTCTCTACTTTCACCACCATAAAATGCTATGCTCTCTGCATGGGTCCTTAACCGTGAGTGAAGTTGTCGATACTCTCCTTCCAATTGTTGTTCTTTAGACATTAGTTTTCCAAATGCAGGAGAAAAGTTTCTGATTGCGGTCCCTGCTCCTAATACATAGGCCTGGAAAGTAACATTAGATTGTGAGTGTCAAACTAACTGCTATAATTGTGATGCAAAGTTCTAAGGTCCATCAGTAAATGGAAGTACTAAGCCACTGAAGCTCAACAGTATCTAAAACATTAACAGACCCAAAGATAAAAAAGACAAGTCAGAGCAGTCAAAGAACAAAGAATTACCAATATCCAGAATACATATTTTGGGCTTGCATATGAACATAGGCGCCAAGTATAGAGCAAACCGTCAGTAACTGCAGTGAGATCATCCTGCACAAGGTCACTCAACTCTGAACAGAACCTTGGTACATCACTTGCAATTCGTTGCTCTGGATTAGTTATCCTACCATCAACATGTGATATTTTGTAGTATACCATATTCTGCAAACCCAGATAAATAAAAGTAGAACATGAAGACAATACCAAAGAAGATGAATTCATGGTAAAGAACATACATCTTATCAAATTAAAGGATAGTAGGTCAAATATAATACATGAACCTATTCACAATTGAAGGAAGAAGATAATATTTTGCACCCTTTGTTAAGTACTATGCTGCATAATGGAAAATAAAAATAAAGTTCAAATTTAACCATGCATTTTCACCAAATGACTCATGGACCATTTAAATAAATGAACTGCCCAATAAAATACCCAAAATAAATTATTGAAAAAACATAAACTGTAATAAAGAAACACTGTTATAGTTATATGTCAATTAATCAAACTGGATGAGGATTGTGTTAAGACCAAAAGGCCGAGTTTTCCAAAACAAGGTTTTCAGCCACTGATTAGTTTTGTGATACAAAGGCATCAAGGAATATGACTATTTTATTTTTTCTATAGAATGCACTGACCACGATTTAGTTTTCCAGTTATAAGGAATGCCTTGCCTTCCTAAACGGAAGACAGATGGGTATAATTTTCATCCATTAAGAAATTGAGAACTCCCTTTCTTTACATTGTCAGATGCTCAAGTCTCTGATCAATAATAACCATGATTTTGGACATCATACTCTCTTCTAGCTAAACATATCTGCCAACAATCTCCATTTTGAACTCCTTTTGCAAGAATCTTTAAGTGTTATAGTGTTCAGGAGATTCATGAATAGTTCACCCGCACTATGATTATGTGTAAAATTAGTAATATATTCTTGCATATAGAGTCAAATACTATGGCTGACTTTTAAATGATCTCAAGATTTTGGTATCAATGAGAGTGAACATCCAATCACATTATAAGAAAATTTACTTTAATATATAGTCGAGTTTCTCAGATGTATTCCCAGTTAATTTATATACTGATAATATCAGTGGCAATATATTTTTAAACTCGTAACTGGAATTTATCCATCTTTTACTACACTAAACATGTTTTCTACACCCGTGATTATGGTTTCGAAGAAAGATTTAACCAAGATATAAATCCACACAATCTAAACCCTTGGCCTGAATTCTCTTGTTTAGAAATCCTAAATTTCGACATATTTTACAATTTAGGACAGCTATCTCACAATTGCTTAAAGTCCAGAGCTTCAGCTAAAGCCAATTGCAAACATTACAAGTAAAATTGTTAACTCTAATTGTCATTTACCCAGTTTTCTTCTTCCTGTTCTTCCTTCTTTTCTTTCTTCTTCTTTTTTTTTTTTTTTTTTTTTTTTCATTTTGTTGTTTGACGAAATGTAGCTAGGGAGCACTGACTCTCCAGAGATATACATATATATATAAAGTTGTAGTACATTTGAATAAAGAAACAAGTTTATAGCACAGAATTCACATATAAACAAGTTTGAATTCTTTGTGGCACATCACCAAATTTATTTGCTAACTTGAGCCATAAGAAAAAGAACTCAATTAGAATATGAAATGACATTTGAAACGTGATTCACTAGTATGTGATACTGCAAATTAACCACAGGCTAGACACGCCACAGCAAAGATATTAATATGCATGTATAAAAGGGGTGAATGAATGATGATTAAAGGAAATAACTTATCATTCATGTTTGCATGGATGGTCAAAATGGATATCTGATGGAGCTTTGTAGCAGATCTGACAACATTTTTGGATGATTTACCCGATATGTAGACTAATATACAAATACAACTAGTTCATTTTTACTTCAAATGTAATGTAAATCCTAAGGACGATCACTTACATACAAGAGTGATTAAACTTAATTCTAAAAAGCAACATCAGAAAGAAGCAAGACATCTTTTTAACGGATGACCGTAACAAATGACTATTAGTCCTAGAACCTACTGTATTGGAACTCTAGAAATAAATTGGAGAGAATGAAAGGGCTACTGTTCCAACTTTTTTTTCCTAGTTGGTACTCACACACACTTGTATCTTCTGAGACTTAAAGCCCTGACCTCCCTTTGGGAAGTAAGAGGCTGATACCGCTAGGCCACTGGCCCGTTGGTCTACTGTTCCAACTTATCAAAACAAGATAAATTTATTTTTATTTTATTTTTTTTCCAACTTATCAAAACAAGATAATTTTTTTTTATAAAAAGTAGGGAAAAGATGGCTACCATAAGATAGAAAAAGTAGTTCCACCTCACATAAGCACATACACACGCACAAAAAGAAAGACAGTAGTTACCTGAAAATATTGTGCATGGATAAGCTTTGTCAATATTTTTCTGAACCGCAAACTCAAGGTCCCTGTTATGTACTTAGATGTAGAATAAATAGTTGACTGAAGAAAACACAGTAGAAGATTTTCACAAATCAGACGAATAAAGGTAGGTACGCGCCGAAGAAAAGCAGCACGGAATAGGAATCCTTGCACTTTTGCTAATCTATTGCTTAAAGCAGTTCGTAACACCTGCAAAAAAATAAATAAATAAATAAAACAAATACAAAAGCAAACAATTAACATAAAGACACTAGCCACCCCGTCCATAATCCATATCTCATGTCAATACAATGGAATGGAATCGAAACATAAGTTTAAGTTTTGGTGGTTTCTCTAGGAATAAAAACTAGACAGAAGCATTCGGGAGGGAAAAACAAACAAACAAAAAAGCAAAAACCTAGACAGAAGTCATAAAAATCCTCATAATTTAGGCATCCATGATCGAACACTTTCTTCCCAATTCGACTAAACCAGAAAATACAACAAAATAACAACCTCAACCGAACAAGGAGTCATACTCTGTGATTTTCTGTTCAAAAAAAAACAAGAAAAAAAAAGGTACTCAAAGGTACAGGTTTTAAATTTTATATTCTTCGGGTTGATTTAATATATCTACAATGTAACTTCTATAGAATGTACAGAATATAGATCAACAATTATTTGCCAAATTTATGAATCTACAGTAGCACATGAGAAAAACAAAAGGATGGATATCCAGATGATTTTCTTCAAAGAAAATTTTAAATGACATTCCAAGACTAAGCTTTAAAGATAATAATACCTCTAAATAATTTTATTTTTAAAAAATTTGACATGTAAAACTACACATACTACTACTCTATAAGTAAAATATAGATTTAAATATACACACACACACACACACACACACACACACACACACAAATAAATAAATAAATAAAAATTGGAATCTTCAATGATGAATTCCACTTCTATAGTTGTTGTATAAGAAACATCCCATGCTAGAGTAGCTAAGAAGAGAGACACGTGGACACTTAATAGACACTCTTGGACACATGTCTTACACTGCATGGATGTGTCAATAATTTAAAAATGAATTTCATCATTTCAAATGCTTAACTAACAATATGAACACACTTCTGGCGTCCAACCTTTTTTTTTTTTCTTTAAGAAAATTAACATTATGCATATGGTTACCACAAGGCAAGCATGCAATATCACATTTTCTTTGAGGAGAAAAATAAGATTGTAATGAGAAAGTAAAAGAGTAAAATATACATAATATAATTATCCTTGCGACATTTACATAGCTTTATCTTCTAAATTATGTAAAAATTAAAATCTAATTGAAATTCTATAATTGTCATAATTAAAATTTTAACACTATATGAATATAGTTGTGTTCGCGCTATATCCGTGCCCTACTCTTTTGGTATTTTATCTGTCGTTGTATCCGTGTCCTATGTCCTAGCTGATGGTACTTAGGTTGCAAGTTCAGAGCTCACAAACTATCTCCCACTTACTTATGGCAATACGAACAGGATGACGACCATCCTGACAACCATTGACATTGTATTTACTAAATAGGAGTATATTCAGCATGGAGTATATTCGGCAAGGTCATTGGAAGTGCATTTTTGTTGTCCCTGCACCTTCGCATGTGGAAATATTCAACAAGTGACTTTAAATTGCCATGGAATCAATCAAAGGGCTGTGGCAATTACAACTGCCCTACTAGAATATATTATCAATCACATAAACAAAGGTAAACGAATAAATAAATCAATAATTGAAGGAAATTTAATAATTTCTATAAAATTTTAAAAGTATAAAGCTCAAAGAAGAATAAATGTCTTCCATACGGGCCATTATAAAGGAATCCATCTAAATAGGATAGGAGACTAATGGTTTTAGTGACGATAACTTTACTAATATCTCATTCTCCGAATTCATTTTCATGTTTGGACAGAATATCTTCCAAATGATTTTTTTTTTTTTTTTTTTTTTTTGGATAAATAAAAATTATTATTATGTTACCAACAGTCCTAAATTTTCATGTCTTTTTTTAAGCATTTTTCACATGTTTACACCAATGCCTCAGAAGAATGGAGTAGATCAAGCGGTTGGATCAGGTTCAATTTTGGTTAAATGGTTAGCAATTAGATTCAGTTCAAGCTACTGTATGGTACTTGTCAAATACAGTGGCAATCAGGGAACGTAATAACCAAAAGGTAACACACAAATAAAAAAAAACTGTCCACCAAAAAAATCTTGTCTGGGCCTACTCGGACTACAAAAACAGCAAGAAGAAGGGGAAAATGGAGAAGAAGAGACTTATCAAAAAAAAAAAAAAAATTTGAAAAGAAGAGACAAGAAACAAAGAAACATACAAACAAAAAAGGATCCATATTTACAACATTTGATTAGAACATATCATGCGCTTGCCCCAAAATGCAAGTATCACTTACTCACAGAAGGCAATTGTGTTAGACATGAGTTATGGAGGTAAGCATTTAGAGATGTTCATGCAATTACTGCTGCCAGCCTGCCATTGTGTATATAAAATTCATATTTGAATTTTCATCACATAACTATAATCTATGTAGCACGGACACGAACACAATATGACACAAACACCGCGACGCATCAAATCCCACAAAGGCCACAGATACAGCGTCAACACGGCTAATATAAATATAGAATATCATTTATAATTTTATTAAACAATACAGTTAGAACATGTTACATGATTTAGACTTTAGAGGAGGGAGCAATGCGAACATCCTAATATTATATATATTAGGGTAAAGTGCAAAAAAAACCCTTCAACTATTGGCCATTTAGCAGAAAACCCCCGTGATCTAATAATTTGACAAATAACCCCCCTAAACTATCATGTTTGTTGCAATTTACCCCAATCCGGTGATTAGCCGGTTGAATTTGACCGTGAAGAAGCACATGACGGTCACGTGACAACCCAAAAATTTTTAAATGGCCATACAACCCTTTATGAAGTCCCCCCCCCCCCCCCCCCCCCTTCCTCATTCACGCCACAATGGAGGGGTCGGCTGTGAAGAGGTCGGCCGGTGAGGGCTCGGCCGACTGAGCAGAGAATTGAAGCGGAAGGACGGCGGTGAAGCTGTGGCAGGCACGGTCGGTAGAGAGGGTCAAATTGCGAAATCTGGATAGAGAAAGTTGGGATTTTCTCGACAAAAAATTGGATATATTTTCCTTTTTTGCTGGTCAATTTGTGGGTAAACAGGGATTTGGGGTACGAATCGAGGGATCGGAACGAAGACTTGGAAACTCTGTTCATCAGAGTTTGGAAACTCCGATTTCGCAGGGCGATTCAGTTCATCGAAGTTTGCTGCGTCGCCGGCGGAACAGCTTGTGGGTTTGGTTTGGTAGGGTTTTGTTCGCCGGAAGTTGCAGAAGTGAAACTTTATTGCTATTTGTTGTTGGCTAAAAGTTGCAGAATTTAGTTCATCGGAGTTTGCTACGTTGTCGCCGGCGAGCCTGCAATCAAAGACCGAACAACCCCGACATGTCTTAGTTAAGATGAAAAGAAGTGCCGGTGACAGAGCTATAGTAGCGAAACGACCCAGCAAGAGTGCAATTTCAGCGAAACCCAGAACAACGAGACTGAGACCCAGTCTCGTTGACACTTCCCTGAAGAAAAAACATTGTGTCAAATCCTCTTATTCATTAATCATTTGTTTGGCTCCTCTGTTTTGTTAGAATTTGTTGATTCACGGTACATCACAAAAAATCATTGTTGGGTTTTCTATTGTGGATTGAAAATGAGCTTCACGATTGGGGATTTTTTTTTTGAAACCCACTATGACATATATCTGTCTATTTTATTTCTCTCTCTCTCTCTCTCTAAGAATCTATATCAAATATTCATCTCTCTTTAAATCTAAATCAGAGATTCAATATCCAAATAACTCAGCAAGACAAAACGAGGTAAACTAGAGTCCATTTTTAGGATAGGAAGGTCTATTCTTAGACTGATTGGATCGGCCGGTGACGGAGGAACTGCACAACGGCGGAGGTGGAATGGACCGGCAGTGAAGTGGCGGCAGCAGCGGTGGGGAAGACAGCGGTGAGCTCAGCGGGCTGGTTCGGCGGTGGCTCGGCCATGGATGACTCGGCGGCGCTCAGATGAAGCGACGACTGCGGGGACAAGCTCAGATGGTGGAGAGGACCGGCGAGCAAGGTGGGTTGAACGGCGATGGGCTGGTTCGGCCATGGTTGACTCGCGGCGATGGGCTGGTTCGGCCATGGTTGACTCGCGGCGATGGGCTGGTTGCGACTTCGGCTGTGTGCGGATGAAGAGACGGCAGTGGGGACATGTTAGTCGAGTGTTTGGGATGTGTCAGACGAGTGTCCGAATTAATAAAAAATTATTTCTAAATTATAGACATGTTCATGAAGTATCGGACATGTGTCCATGAAGTGTCCGTGGAGTGTCGTTTTCAAAACGGACACAGCATCTTCGTAGAAGTGTCCATACTTCTTGGACTATAATCCTTTCCTTTCCAACCTCCAAGGAAATGAACTCTTACTAAGAGTTACTAATCGTGATCATTTATAGCTCACCTGTGCAGCAGGATAGGAAGGAATTCTTTAAGACGGAATCAATGTATTAAAGGCTCAAGGCGCACCAAGGCGCTAAAGGTCCTTTGGAGCCTAGGCGGGAAGCGTGCGCCTGAGTGAAGAGAGGCGCACAATTGAAATTTTAAACTACCATAAAAGCATTCATATCTCATAAGTCATATCAAATTCTATTAATTAATAGCAAATATAAAAAAGTAAATCCATCTATATAAGCATTCGAGAACCATAAAACAGAGCACAAATTTGTTTTCTTGAAAGGCAAAACAGAGCACAAAAAGAAATAAATCTTTTAACAAAAAAAAAAAAAATATTGTTAACAAGAAAAGAAAGAACAAAAAAATAGAGCCAAAAAAAAAAAAAATTTGATGCAAAGACAAAAGAAGTAGATGAAGAGAGAGAAGGATATTAGAGGAGAAGAGAGAGAAAGTGTTAAAGAAGAAAAAGGAGAAAAAATAGAGCCCAAAAAAAAAAAGATAAAGAGAGAAGAGAACTAGACGGAGAGAAAAGTAAACAAAGATGAGGAGAGAGGAGTAGAGGAGAAGAGAGAGAAGAAGAGGAAGAAAGAACTGACATGGATTCGTCGTTCGTCTCTGACACCAGAGCTTTGTTGATGGTCTCACAGTCTCACTCTTTCTATATTCGGTTGACACTTTGACTCTTGGACTTGCTTATTTGTTTATTCTTTTGAACAAAAGTTCCTTCTCTTATACACTTAAGCTTTCTTATTTGTTTATTAGGTTGCCAAAAGTACCCTTTTTGGCTTAAGAAATAGAATAATCATTATAAAAATAAAATAATAAATAATAAAAAAAACAGTGAGGCGCTCCTGGGCGCCTGACAAATAGGACGAGGCACGCGCCTAGTAAACATCAATGCACCTGGGATGACAACAGGCGCTAGACCCACACCTCAGGCCTAGGCGAGCCTTTAACAACACTGGATGGAATCCTGACAGAAATGGCTGTCTTGGTCTGAATACTTTTTATCGGGTGTTATGTTGTGGAAATAGGAAGGGTTCCCTTGGAAAGATATTTGAAAGGTGAAAGGACTAGCTAAAGGATTTTCCTGGTGTGGATGCTGCTTTGGAGGTAATAATTTCAACTATGGATAGCATCGGGAAAAGGGGTAAAATGATCTTCAACTGGTAATGCACGTGCAAGAACAATGAAGATTGAAGATACCACCAATCACCTTCTTCAGTTTGCACTGACACGTGACTTTGGTGTATGCTGCTGTCCATGACAACTGTGCGGTGAATTATGCTTCAGTCTGTGGAGGACTTTTTTGGTTGTTGGGCTAGCAGTTGTGTCAAGACTCAAGAGATCCCCTGTTGCATCACTATGTCTCATGTGGTCAGTATGGTGGGAGCGAAATAGGAAAACTTTGGAGGATGCAAAGCTATTTATGCATTAGGATTAAGAAGTTGATGCTGAATATTTATTATTTTTGGCTGTCGGGATATTCTCCAGGTTTTTACATTCTTTTGTAGATAGTTTGGACGATTTAACTTAGAAGGAAGGATTCTAGGCTTAGGATGCTATGTGAATGCACAGGTTTTGCTCCTATCTGATGCTCTTCTTATAAGACAATGTCCTGTACTAATATAAAACAAACTGATCTTTTCATTAAGTCTGAACAAGATTTATTAAAGAAAGTGAGTATTCCAGTAAGCCAAAAATATAGAAGGGTTTTGGGATGCAACATAACAAGCATAATTTTGTGGAATATGCTTGAAAGCACTTGGAAACATAGCATTTCTATTACAGGAGCTAAAAAAAATCCAAAAATGATGAATAGAATATAATTAAATTCTAAACAGTCCTCCAGTCATAAAATATATATATATATATATATATGAATTTACTGAAAGCCAACAAAAATGGAAGAACAACAATGAAAAACCAAAAAAAGGGAGGAAATGGACACTAAAGCTAGTTTTAGAAATATCAACTATAATCTGTTCACAGCTGAAATTTCATGAAGATAAGTTTTGAAGTCTGAAATGTCAACACAAACATTGACAATAGAAGATACTCCAAAATGAAGCAGATCCTTATGTATATGGCATATCCAAAATTGTAAATAAAGGTAAAGCATGGATCTATATGTTCTGTACAAAATAATGATTAGAAACCATTGATGTAGATGTTGAGTAACAGTCCCGTCTAATGATTTTCCATAAAAATTGTTAATTAGACAGATTAGAAGTATACTACAAATTTTATTTCTAAAACAAGATCTACCTTAGTTGATCAGGTGTATAAAAATGCATGGACGAATTAAACAAACAGAACAATAACCTTTCTTTTTATACATAAGTTTCCTAATTCTAATTTACCTTTTTAAATTCCATCATTTATAAAATAAGAAATTATATATTACACACACAGAAAGTTTTGGAATTTAACAAGTTTCAGGTACTTCCACTGCGCAACTTATGAAATCTCAAGTAACTTTGGATTTCTAATGACATCCCAAATAACTATTATTTTAGGTAAAACGCTTAAATTACCAACACACCTTAAAATTTTGTATCATCCTACCAATTTCCAAGCACCTTCAAAGGTTCAATCTATATTCCATTCAAAATATTTAATTTTAAAGGGAAAATTATTTAAAATAAAAAAATAAAAAACAATATTGGAATTGATTCTGCATGCATAGGGTGAGTTGAACAGGGAAACAAGGAACACAGCAGCATATAACGAAGATATGTCCACAAGGAAAAAGCAATTTTGGAAGGCGGACCATACCATATCAAAACATTAAAACTTCAGATTTGCTCAAAAGAAGAAGCTTACCACTATAGAAACTAAAGCTAGAAGGTCTCTTGCCCCCATTCGGCCCATATGAGATAGAAGAATTGCAGCTAAAACCTGAAGTGACCTTAATCCTCCTTTCTTTTGCCTACTTTTTTTTACAATATTATCACTTCCAACCACATCGTTTGATGGTTCTGTATGATCACTGAGCCCATTGCATTGATCCAAAGCATTAGGCCTTTTACAGCTATACCGTGATTGCATATACGCAGCCGTTCCACCAGCGATTATGATTCCAGATGCAAGCAGCAGAGTCTTCCTGTAGCATAATAGCAAAACATGTCTAGCAATGACAGAGGGATCTAACTGAAAACAAAAGAACCATATGACTGTAAAATGAAAAAATGACCATACAACTGCATAGCATGAAATTAAGTCACTTACAAGCACGGTTATGAAGTCGTAGATTCAAAGTTGGTGCAGAGGTAACAATGAATCATTATATCAAATTTAGACCCAAAAAAAACGAACGAACAAACAAAAAAGAAAGAAAGAAAAGGAGATTTTTAACATTTTTGGGAATATTCACTGTCTACAAAGTTTAAGCAATTCATCTGAATTTTCATCTAAACAATCACCATTATCAAAACAACCATAGGTGATTCTTAGGGGTATGAGTCTAGAACCTAGGATTGTAATTTTTTTCTTCCATAGTGGACTGTTTAGCATCAGGATGTGTCCCCATGGTTTCCAGTTCAGGTTTATGTAAATCATTGTCTCTATTTATTTTTTTTTTTCTGGGTACGTAAATTACACACTCATTTATCCTGTTGGGACTCGAACCCTCAACCTTCCATTTGGAAGGAGGAGGAGATACCATTTAGATGCATATAATTTGAACATTTTTCAATACATAAAAAGCTTTCTACTATTCCAGGACACCTTTTCTTGGAAAGTACTTAGCTGACTGCTCGAGTATAAGCTTATCATTGACCATTGCACCAACCAAACACTAGTGACTGCCTGCAACAATTGCTCATCCAAACAAAATGCATGCACCAAGAAGCTGCCAAAGCATAGCAGTCATCTATATATCATATGACCAAAACTTTAAATGAACAATGACACAAAAGCAGTTGCACCAACAGCCCAATTTCATTCATAAAATAATTAAAATCATCATATGGCAAGCAGATAACACGAGAACATGACACAATGGTAATATCCGAGATTTATTACAGAAATTTAAATTGATAGTGGATATGAGCACAAAGAGTAGGAAATATTACCTCCTTGAGGCCAAAATGCTTCGACCATGCTCGGTTAGCTGTAATAGTTGTAAAGAAGGCATGGCTGAAGATGAACCTTCCCCAACCACTAAATGTCAGCAACTGGGATAGCTAAACTTCCAGTTTCCAGAGCGAAGCAATACTGAAGAGTCTAAATTAAAAAATCATTTAAAAAGGAAAAGTGATTTTCCCCCAACAACCAGAAGAAGATGAACTAAGAAATTAAAGAAAAAAATTAACAAAATAAGATGTTTATTGCCAAGTAGTGAACCAAATATCAAATGAATAACTTTCAATCAGCATCAAGAAAACTAAGAAAAGGAGAAATTTTTAAGTCTTGGTAATGTCTTTTCTAGTCTATTCAAATGGCATTCTTTCAAAAATAAGAATGCCATTTGTTTAACACTTGGTAATGTCTTCTCTAGTCTAATCATTTGATTAATTCTAGCCATGAAACTAAAGATAGTATCAACTACACAATCCACAAGAGAGAGGAGAGAGAGCTCATGTTTATGTGCTGCAAGGTACCACAAAGACATGGGATGAGCAAGTTACCGTTCAAAAGCCAAGGATGCTAACCGTGCTCCATCACATGCAGAAGTCGATAAAAATACATACTTATTGAATATTGAAGATTATTTTCTTGAGCTTCAAACGACCCACCAAGCCTTCCTTTCCATATATAATTTGTGTAAAGATAATAGTCCTCGATGACAATCAGGCATAAGACCTCTGTAATTTATTCATTTAACTGAGTTAACCACACAAAACAGGGCAACATATGATAAACCAACTAGAAATATAAATCCAATGGAAACAGATACACAGATATAATAATAGAGTACAAGTTCAATAACGCATTTTGTAGAACCCCAAAGAAAAAATTGTAGCACTTGTTAAATAAAATGGAACGTATTAAAGAATCTAACCGAGCACGCATTCAACTCAAAAATCTCCCATAAGGGAATCCGAAAGTGAGCATCTCCTTTACGGTAATCCTAAAGTTGGTCATCTCCCATATGGCAGCCCTATGTCATAGTGAGCATCTCCTTTAAGGTAATCCTAAAGTTGGTCATCTCCCATAAGGCAACCCTATGTCATGGAAAATGTTACGAATGCCTATGAAATATTTCAGGCTGATTACAGATGGCAGTAAATTTATGTATGATTGCCACAATAAATATAAGATTCTACCAGCATATGGTACAGCAAGCAGAACAAGTTCCAGAAGCTGAAGTACATCCAAGTGAACCATAAGACTTTTTTGGGTTGTGGGGATAAATTATACATCTTTAGAGGAGATTGTTGATTTTTTGGACTCTTTGAAAGTTTAGAGGTCCTTTTTGGCCTTGTGTAGTTCTTTTGGGCTTCGCTCCCCTTTTGAGCGCTTCTATACGATTGTCTTACTTAACAACAAAATAAATAAATAAATAAATAATAAAACATGAGACTTTTGGCAGTCCCAATTTCCAAAAACCTCCACTTCTCTAATTAATGGAAACTGAAGCTAAAAGACTTTTGATGTTGTTATCGGCTTGATGGCGGAAGCTTGACTTGGGATGTACATTTTCATAGAGAGTTTCATGATTGGGAACTTACGGAGGTTGCAGAGTTATTAGCCTTACTGTATAGCTAGGTGGTGGAGGGGGAGGGAATGGGTGAGATGGTGTGGGAGGGTACTCCAAGAGGTATGTTTGAGGTTAGAGCTTTTTATCACAGCCTTTTGGAGATCCTAGGTCCTCCCTTTCCGTGGAAGGCAATTTGGAGGTCAAAAGCCCCATTGAAGGTGGCTTTCTTTGCATGGTGTGCCGCTCACGAAAGTATTCTTACCCTTGACGATGTTAGGAGGAGACGACAAATTGTGGTTAACTGGTGTTGTATGTGTAAGAAGACAGAAGAATTCTTGAATCACCTTCTTCTGCACTGCCCAGTGGCTAGAGACGTTTGGGCTATGTTTTTTATCGCGTTTGGCATGTCTTGGGTGTTCCTAAGATCCACAGTGGAGTTGATTGAGCCTTGGAGAGGGTGTCTAGTGGAGAGCCGAGCCAGGGATGTTTGGAGGGCCACTCCCCTTTGTTTATGGTGGGGCTTGTGGTGTGAGAGAAATAGGAGATCCTTCGAGGGTGAGGAGACACCTGTTTGGTCTCTCAAATACAAGATATAGTATTCTTTATTTTCTTGGGTTAATGGGCGCAATTGTAAATCTTTGGGGCATCTTTTGGATTTTGTGGATAGCTTAAAGCTATAGTAGTCTCCTTTGGCATCTTGTGTATTCTTTTGGAAGCGCTCCCCTCTTGAGCGCCTTTAATGAAATCTTAGTTATCAAAAAAAAAAATAGATATCAACCTTTCATATCTCATAGCCAATATTTATCCCCAACAATTAGGCACCACTTAGCAGCGTCTAGCATCCAGTCTGGACAGCAAAATGAAGAAACTGGGATGGTCCAAACCCTATAAAATGAGGATGGATTGGCCTTTCCAAATATTAGTATATATGGATTTTCGTAAATAATTTGAAAATCAGTCAGTTTTGTTACATTCATAATTACTTTTCCATAAACTATTAATTCTCCCATCCCAAGTCACACAATCCTTCTTAATGGGTGCCGCTCTCACGCTCCGAGCGCGCTCCTGCTCTCACGCTCCGCGCGCGCTCTCACTTCCGTTCCCTATTTGTGACTTAATTTTGCTGCTTTCAGGCACCGGTTCTTGAATTCACTCTCGCTCCCTCTACCGCTTTATGTGACATAGCTCCCACCTTATAGGCCAAATAATGGTTTATCTATGGCATTGTACTAAGATTAAATGCAAGCATATTACGTCAAACTCTTTGCTCATGAGTGCACGGAACACTCCGCATCCACTGTCGCCTAGAAATGGTAGTTTAAATACAACAAAACGTGGAGATAGCAATTTGTCTTAAAAAAATATAATACAAACATGATAACAAACATTAGCGAAGTTTTAACAATACTTTTTTAGTTATTCATATAATTGGGTAGAAGTTTTTTAAATATTTAAATAAATGAATTCCTATTTCTTTAGTTTGGAAAATTGCAATCTCTTTTTTTAACTACATTACCTTTAGGTTACTCGAGAACTCCATTCCATAGTCCATTGTCACCCTTGGACAAAAAAAGATGATGCAATGAATTTTTTTTCCCCCCAGTTTATCCTATTATGCATTTAATTTTATCCCTTGAAAAAATGATCTCTAGCAGATCCGCCCCTGCTTGTAAACAAATTATACATCAATTATAAGATACACTAATTCATCTCAATGTATTAAAAATACCAGCATTTATATTTCACAATAATCAATCACATGTTAATCATCAACCGCCACCCTTGTGGTAGACTACTTGCTGTTAGGAAGATGAAGGGTAATGGAAAATGATCAATCAATATCAGATAGTCAAATGAATCAAAAATTTCATTTGAATCAGATAAAAAAAATAGTAAAGAAGGAAGAATTTGCTTTGACCAATACAAAACAACTAGTCAGTAGTCTCCCCTTCGCCTGACCTTAACTCATTAGATTCAGCAGCAGAAGAAGCACGCTCTTGTTTTCTTGCTTTCTTGTTGTCTTGAATTGTTAACTTCCAGTAAGGCGTGAAATTCTCATTTTTTTTGAAATAAATCAATTACCGAGTCTTAGGATCTTAGCGCCAGCGCTTTCAAACTTTTGAACATAACACTACGTTGCCCAATCGATCATAGGTAGGGGGACATCTTTTGCCAAAGCCCACAAGCCCAAGAGAAAAGGAACGAAAGGAGGCAATTCAATAGAAATCCCCCAGCAGGCCAAGGCTCGAGAGTACACAACACTCCCCGAAGTTGCCTTGCTTGCCCCCATCACACGTTTCTAAAACAATACATGTTTCAAATCCTTCCATATTTTAGAGACAACATGCACTAGATGTCTTCAAATATGGGATTTTTTATTCATAGTTTGCACATCAGACATGTAACTGCTTGTATCTAACGCATATTCATGTGTTACACGTACTAGATATAAAACACATCAAACTCAAAGGATATTCACATAAAAGATCAACTGAAGGAATATTTTACTGGTCAAAAAATGAAATAGCTTAGTTCGAGAAAGCCTAGTATCACAACTTGGAAGCTACATAAACAATTCTCTCCGTTTTAACTAATCTAAGGTCACAGCCTATTTTTTTACCATAGGTCACATCTCAACTTCGATCCTCAATCCACATTCTTTTTGCCTTTCTCCTTTGCCTTTAAAAACCTCCAATTCATACCAAAACTCTCATCTCACTAACTCATTGATTTTCCCATGTCCTGTGTAACCACACACACACACACACACACAAAAAAAAAAAAAAAAAGGAGACAAATTTCCCTGGTTTTTCATCAGTGTTACATATGTATTTTAACACATGCTTCTATTTTGTTTATTTATTTATTAAATTTCAGTTCTATCATTACTTGTATTGCCCTCTCAGTAACTTCTCATTTTTTTTGCATTCCACACTCTCTAAAACTCACCCTCTCTTTAAACACAGTCTTTCTAAAATTTATCCTTATCTAAAACTCTCTCACACTAGTGTACCCACAGACAACTCAGCGTCCTCTTTCAAATTGGCCACTCCATGGCCATCACAGAAAAATGGATAATGGTTGTGTTCCAAATCATTCATCAACAATAGACTTTTAACATCAAAACAAACAAATGTATGATAAACCAAGCAAGATAAATCAACTAGTGAGAGAGGAGACCTGTCAAAATCAATAATCAAACATGGACCTCCACCGCCAGCCCTTCTCTCTCACTCTGTAAAATCCTTAATTTGACTCCGTCTTATACTAAAAGTCGTCTTCCATTCTCTTCAAAAGCTGCTGATTTAGTTCATTGAGATATATATATAGATATATTTAGAGAGAAAAAATAAGATAGAGATATATGTGTCTATATGTATAGTTGCTCTGATTGAGTTTATATATACCTTACTGCATACATATATATACATAGATAGTATAATATATATGAATAGTTGCTCTAATTGTATAAAAAAACATAACATAAACATTTACATTAATGAAGAGATCAAATGAGCCTGTGTTAATGATCAAACCTAGGGTGTATAAGTAATACATAAAAGATTTCTCAGTGTTAATAAAATGAACTCCAAGGTAATACCCAGGGCAAAAACTTCAAAAAGAAGAAAAAACAGTTGATAAGATTCATTCTAGTGTATAGAATCAGAAGCCCGTCCTATGTGTTAGTCTTGAAGTCAAACATAAGTAGAAAAGGGAAGGGGGGTGGGTTGGTTATTTAAACTAGAGAGGAGGCACGTGTATTTTAACCTAACTAGAGGAGAGGTCAGTGTAATCTGCTCATTTCTTAATTATTCATTTAGTGTAATTCAAAACTCATGATGTGAAAAACAAAAATAAAATTGAATCTGGAGTCGAATGAACCCTAAGAACTTCTAAGCACCTGAAACAGAGGATCAAGAACCATCTACAATGACCTCATTTTGATGTGTGGGTTACACTGCGTCAGCGGTAAGCTCTATATATTGTGAGAATATTTCAAATGTCTCACCCAAGTTTTTTAACAATATATCTGCACTCTGCGGAAAAATAAAATTGCTTGAGCATAAAAGTTGAAATCCTAAAGTCAGATTATATTGCAAAAACAAAGTGAGAGCTATAGATAGTAAGTAATGCTACCCTCAAACTTCACCTGACCTAATTTACAATGAAATTATGAAAATATGCAAGGTTTTATACAAGTTCAGATGGGGTTCCTATTTATGATTTAGGCAGGCTAACAATGTGTTTCCGGGTCCATAACTACGAGAAATGAAATAAATAAGCATAACATAAGTCACACCACGTGGCTTGGTAGTTGAAAGAATTACATAAGAGCAACTTTTGAAAGGTATAGCTAGTAAGTAATTCTACCTTCAAACTTCACACCCCCAATTTACAATGAAATTAAGAAAATATGCAAAATTTTATACAAGTTCAGATGGGATTGCCATTTAAGATTTAGGCAGGCTAGCAATGTATTTCCGATTCCATAACTAGGAGAAATGAAATAAAAAAAGTGTATCCCAAGTCCCACGGCATAGCATAGAGATAGACTAGGTTAAAAGAGGAAGAAGGAAAAAAAGTTGTTGATAGAATTACAAAAAAGCAAATCTAATCCCCGGCGTATTATCAAAGTTCTAAACGGAGCCATGTTTATAAACAACAAGAAGAAAAGGGCAAATATGAATAAAACCAACTCCATGGTGACTGCAGTAATGAAAATGAATAAAAATAATAGTAGTATCGACACCAAACATATATTTTAAAAATATATAGATACCATAGAAATCATAAATAAGGTCATAAACTAATTTTTCCATTCAGTGTAATATTTCTTAGAACAAATGAGCAGCGTTTGGTTGCTAAGTGTGGGTAACAAGATAAAGATTGCTTTTCCAATGAGAAAATAAAGCTCCATCCAAATTGACCTCAAAAAACAATTTAAGGCAAACTTTAAACTTTACTTGAATGAAGATAAAACAAAAGTTGTAGCTAACACTCAAAATCACAATTTCAATGCTTTTTCGCGACATTTCTTGGCAACCAGACAAAGAAACCAAAAAAAAAAAAAGTATAATTAAATTCCCTTACCTGATCGTGCAGTAAATCAGAACAACATCACTCTCTGAATCTCTCCAAAGCACAACACTCATATACAGAACTCGATCGAACTCCGCATGTATTCCGATGTGAGCTTCAATGAATCAAACAACAATCAAGATCTTGTATCAACATATAAATCCAATAATAGCTTCTTCCGATTCCTAAATCGAACACAGTAGAGCCCTAACTGTATAATCGCGACAACACTCCCCCAACACATCAGAGAGACACAGAGTTTATGACTTTATATATAAGAGATTATATTAGAGATGAAAAAAAAGATGATGGAAAAGGGGTGGGGAGCAATTTTAGCAACTTCCATTATTTATATTACTTTTATTATAATATCAAAAAGTATTCGGGTTAAATTTGTTATTTATTAAATTTTAGGATCATGTTATACATGTATTTATATTTACATAATTACATCATCACAATTCACAAGACCACTACTAAAATGAGTAATAAATTCAGATTAAAAATCCATAAAATATACTATTACTATACAGTATACAAAGATGATCAAATGAAACCGTTGTGATTTACTGTATTGTTGTTTCTGAACCAAATTTACTTCATTTTCAATTTCAATTTAAGTGCATTAATTTGGCACTCTCAAATATAGTTTCAAATATTTTGATATGAAATTTGGACTTTTAATTGACATGATTCCCATAAAAATTGGAAAATCATAACAACCCTTATGAGATCAAATGTGGATGTCAGCGTAACATTGTTATGTTTTTAGCACGAGTAATGATTTATAAATCAATCAATTTTTGTGATTCCAATAAAAAGAGTTTAATAGACTCTTTGCTACAAATATGGATACCACCTGATACGGATATAGTGATATGGCAAATCTCAAAAAAAAAAATATTTGAATATGGCAATAAAAATTTAATAATTTTATTTTTCTATATATATAAAAATTAATTTTGTGTTAGGTTTTTAAAATTATTATTAATTTGAATGTAATAATTAATATGACATAAAAGGCACAGGAAACAAGTATTTATAGTCATCACTTTAAAATTGGAATTTTTCATAACAAATATACTATATTATTGTTGTTGGCAAAGTTGTATTTTGATATTCAAACTTATCTAAAATGTGTTATGAAGTGTCTGAGAAATGTCACGAGTCTAAATATCTAACAAGCATATAGTATTGGATAGGTGTTAAAAATTAAAATATATATTTTAAAATTATGAATACTTTCAAAAAATATCCAATCATTGGCTCCACCTAAGTAAATAAATAAGCTCTCAATTTAAAAATTGTTGGCTTTCTTTCCTAATTTTTTGGCGTGTCCAAATTTTTGTCTCTCTACTTAAGAGGGTAATTTAATTCCCAAAATATTCTCAAACTTTTCAAAATTGAATTTCAACAAACACTACTTTTAAACCAGTAGTCTTATAAATACAGTAAATTATAAGAGGAAAAACATTAAATACTTATTCTTTAAGCCACGTAAAGCAGGAGTGAGAGTAAATTCGAAAAAATTAAGTTATAAATAGTAAGAATTTGAACCAAAGGCCGCTCCCGCGGAGTGTAAGAATAAAAGCGCGCTTAGAACGTGAGAGCAACACTCATTAAAATATATATATATGAGGCTTATTCCCTTGTAAAGTGAGACTTCTAAATTTTGGGACCAGGGAGTATGATGTGTTAACTTTATTTATAATTTTTAGGACAAATTTCCCAAAACCCCAAAAATTATTAAAAAGTGATCATAAAATTCCAACCAGTTTTAAAAACCCCCAACAATATAACAACGTTATCATTTTACCCCAACTTTGGCAATTCGCCGTTAAGGATATGTGAAGTAACTAAATTACCCTTATTATATTCCTTTTTATTTAAAAAACCAAAAAATCATATTTTTGAAATTACAATATTATCCTCTACAGTGTACCTAACAGTGAGTACAATATTAAATTCAAACGACGTCATCGATCCTCTCTCTCTCTAGCATGGCAACAAGAATTGGGTTACAAGAATTGAACTAGAGAAGTATTCACCACACCCAAGCTTACAAGATAGTCGTATATTATATAGAGAGAAAAACAAATACACCACCACCAACAATAGTCATCAGTCAATCGCAATAGTTTTCAATTCTATTTAAAATTCAATTCGCGTGATCAGATTTGCGATTGGGAGTTTTGTGAATCATCGACCTAATTTGCTAAATTTTCTATAACAATTTTTTAGAAAATAATTGAATTCGAATTCTAGGGTTTGATACGATGACAATTTCTTGATCGCCATTTATCAGCGAGCAGAATCGTAATTGAGGGATTAAGGTTTTGTATGGAAACTCGGCGCCGGAAGCGGGAGAAGGCCAATTCATCAGCCTCTTCATCTTCATCCTCTGGTCCCGCCACCCGTTCGAGAAAAATAACTTGTCTCTCTGCAACTTTGTCTTCAGTCCCCGCCACCGCCACCGCTAACACAGTCGTTGTTTCGTCGACCTCTACTCGTTCCAGAGCTTCTCGTACCAAAAATTCACTGCCTTCTCCGTCTTCTACACCGATGGAATCAACGAACGAGCCATTAGGGTCTGTCCCTCGTCGCGAGTCCGATGGCCGACGTGGAAAGAACAACGGTCCGAATAAGGACAATTCAGATAAGAGGGAAGGAAAATGAGCATAAAGTTAGGGCTAGGGTTAGAGATAGGGATACCGAGAGGAGCTCAGGATTGAATATAGACGGTGGTGCAAACGATGATGATAATGACAGTGATGGTGATGAGGGGATTATCGGTCACCTCCACCTCTTCACCGACATGCCCCACCACGCCTTCGCCCAACTCGCTCGCAAACTCGGACCCATCATCTACCTCAAACTCGGCCAAGTCCCCACCCTTGTCATCTCCTCCGCTCCACTCGCCCAACTCGTCCTTAAAACCCACGACCACGTCTTCTCGAATTGCCCCCAACTCATCGCAGCTCAGTACCTCTCATTCGGCTGCTCCAACATCACGTTCTCCCCTTACGGCCCATATTGGCGCCAAGCTAAAAAGATCTGCATCACCGAGTTACTGAGTCCAAAACGAGTCAACTCGTACCAACTCGTCCGGTAAGAGGAGGTGAACCGGTCGATTTCCACCGTGTTAACTCAATCCGGGTCCAACATTGACATGAGCGAGTTGTTCTTCACCTTGGCGAACAACATACTGTGCTGAGTGGCGTTCGGGAAACGATTCATGGACGAGTCAGGTGATTTGGCTGGTGAGTGAAAGAAGCGAGTTGGTAGGTGTTTTGACGGAAAAACAGGCTTTGCTTGCTGGGTTTTGTGTAACGGATGTCTTTTCGGAGTGGGACTGGGTCAACTCAGTGAGTGAGTCGAAACGAAGGTTGAAGAAGAACTTGGATGATAATGACATTGAATTTGACTTAAAGGGCTTCTTCAAATGAACACATGAGCTCTGACCATATGTTTATAGAAGGAAATTCAAATGAATAGTGCTGAATTATTAGTAAATCACGTTGTCGAACTGAAGTGAGTTTCGCAGAAAAGAAATGCACCGGACTGAAATGGGTTTCGTAGACATCCTAAACCCATGACCGAACCCATAACTAACTACCTCATCCTAGACTAATGGAGGAAAGAAGATGAACTAAAACGATGACACTGTGGGTGTGTTTTTACTATTATAAGTTTGGGGGTATTTTCGGTATAACACATTTAAATACACATTACTTGTTTGGCACATGTGACAGCAAGGATATTTTCGTCACAAAAGTCAATTTGTCAAAGCATTTGTTAAGCACGCGCTGGGTTAACGGGGTCAACTGTTGGGGTAAAATGATAATGTTGCTATATTGTTGGGGGTTTTTAAAACTGGTTGGGGATTTATGATCACTTTTTAATAGTTTTGGGGGTTTTGAGAAATTTGCCCTAATTTTTATCTTTATTTATATGTCAATTATTGATTGGTTGGAATAAATAATTCAGAAGTATCTACTTCTTTGTCCTAATTTTATTTTTTTTAAATATGTGTTTTTCTATAATTTAACTTTTGAAAGTAATGGCTTTAATTTTTATTTTTTATTTTTTTAGTGATATAAATAAATTATCAATTTATCGTGGATGACAAATTCACAATGATGTGATTATATATATATTTTTTATTAGTTAAAGAGTAAGGGCCTGTTTGGCATGCGCTTTATTTTAGGCGTTTTGTTTTTGGTTAAAACCGAAACAGCATTTTTGTTATAGGAGTGTTTCGGAAAAAAATCGAAAGTACGTTTAGGAATGATATTTTACTGTGAAATATTTGAGCCCATGTTGTGCTATTGTTATAGTTTTGGGTCATGAACTGTTGTCAAAATAAAAAAAATAAAATAAGAGCTCACCAAACATACATTTATTGCCAAAATGGACACTATAAGAGTAAGAAAAAAAAAAAAAAACAACAATAAAAATAAAACAAAACGAATGCCAAATGAGACCTAATACAATCATGAGAGCCCTCTCATAAACTCTCCTGATGCTAAATTAACTGTCTCGTTAAATAATTTTTCTGACTTTTCACATTTATCAAATAAATTTTTTCACAAATTTTAATAAATTGTCTTAATCTAATAATTAAATAAAGAGGCATCCTGCCTTTTGTCATGAGAGCATTTCTCAGGGTTAAATTAATAATATAAAAAAATAATAATAATAATGACTTGGGGACATTTATTTTGAGACATGAATACGTTTTTTTTGGGGATCAGGAGAGTATTAATTAATGGGTAATTGAGATTAGATGGGATTGACACGTGGAGGAGAAGTCTTAGCGTGCTGTGCCAATCGGTTTGACGAAAGACAAGGCCTGTGACGTTGAGTGTACGTACCAGAAATGAAAAAACAGAAAATTGCAAATATCAACATCGAGGGTGGTGTTAGTTGAAGGTTTAATTTATAAGTAATTGGGGTTTTATTTCCTCTTCCAGCACATGATCACACATCAAGGAATTAGTAGTACAAGTGAGGTCCACATTATCTTCCATTATTGGTTCAAAATATAAATATATTGGTACAAGAGTGATGATATATAATAACTAAAATTGCCCAATATACACATCAAATGAAACTCGTTTATTGATTATACTAATGTGGAATTCACAAAATCATATCTGATGAGTCTTGAATCAATATATTTGCTTAAAATTATTTTGTCTGGATTAGTTAAATATAATATCTTTTTTATTTATTACTGTACAATTTTATGTAAATAAGCTAAAAGTTGAATACTTTCCCATTTAGTTAGTAGTAAATAAATTATTTTTAAGTTTAAATT